GAATGTACTATTTTATCTCCTCATTACATTTTTTACATTTTTCATTACATTTTGCTCATTACATTTTTTTTTTTATATGTTAGACATTTATAAACACTGACAAGTTTAGCGTTTTGCGTCGATTGTCAGTAGAAACTGTTTGCTGCCTTCTCTGTATTGTTGTAAAAGCAACTTTTATTAGTTTAAACTTATCGTAAGTTTACTTAATTATAAATCAAGAAGTTGAATTTTTCATAAGTTATATATTCATATTGCCGAGCTTTCTTAGGGATTTTTTTTATGCATATGCAGGCGATTCTCGTGCTGTAATGGCACGAAAAGATCAAGCAGCGTTTGGTACCGAGGATCACAAACCGTTTCTTCCAAAAGAACGCGATCGTATCGTGAATGCTGGTGGTTCCGTGATGATCCAGCGTGTTAATGGTAGCTTGGCAGTATCTCGTGCGCTTGGCGACTTTGAATACAAAGCTGTTCCAGGTTTGGATGCAACGAAACAGTTGGTCAGTCCGGAACCAGATATCTATACGATTGTAAGAGATCCGGTAAGAATACTCTATTTGGGTAATGAAGAGGACAAAAACTGCTGCTATATTTTTCTAATAGTTCTAATTCTACTAATGGTATAATTAGCAGAAAGTAAATAATATTCATTAAAGTTTGGGGAATGCAATCTATAAAGTTGTTATTCGTATCTGGTGTACATCTGTACCATCAGCAGGAGGCATACCTATTTTTTTTTTTTATTTCTTAGGATTTCGTTTACTTTTTCTTTCTCTTAACATTCTTATTTTGCTCAATTGGTTTATTTTTGCTTTATGAGTGTCAAAATTAAAGACTTCAGAACAGAGATGGAAGATACTTTACTATAGGTAACTTATTTCAGAAAGTAGATGAGTTCTTGTTACTTGCATGTGATGGAGTTTATGATGTTATGGAAAATGCCGAAATTTGTAGCTTCGTAGAATCGCGTCTTCTTGTAACCAGTGATCTCTCCAGTGTTGCAAACCAGGTTTTTTTTCTTTTTTTTGGAAGGGGGACAAGGAGGAGGAGGGAGAGAAAAGGGACACTTATCAATTATGACACATTTGAGGAAATGGTACTGTGTGATATAATCTCTTAATATTTCGGGAGATGCATACTGCTATTGATAAAAAAGTGTTTTTGTTTTTCTAATCCATATTAAAGTTAAGTCTTTCATTTAACTTTCTTTTGGACTGATGTGGAGCTCCAAAGTTTTCTAAAATCATTTGGAAAAGATAGCTTATTAAGAGTGTTACAATGCGACTAATGCTTTCTGCTTACTATAGTTTCTGTTGAAATTTTTGCCTGTAAGATGGTTCAAATGATTGAAAGCTATAAATGGTTGAAATCGTTCCGTTAAAAGTTTTAGTAGGTTCTCCGGTATGTTACAAGGATTAAAAGTTTATGTTGGTGGATTTCTTTCTAGGTGCTGGATGCTTGTTTATCGAAAGGCTCACGGGATAACATGACTATTATACTTGTATGTTTTGATGCAGCACCAAAAGTTGATCAAGACGCAGTCAAAAAAGAAGAGGGATGGAAACAAAAGATTTTTGAACGAGTGCAGGGTTCTTTTTTGGAACTGTATTTTATATAAAATGAATTTTATTGCCTTATTTAAACTGGTTGCCCTTCTAACACTTTTGATGTTTTAACAAGTAGCGAACTGTAGATTACAATGCAGTAAATGAAATAATAGCAAATATAGTATGAAATGGAATTTCAGTGATTTGAGCTGGATTATTAAATGTATTAATTAATCATACAGAATGATGGTGAATGGTTAATAGCAGCAAAATATATCATCTACCTATAATTATATTTTTTTTTTGTTTATCGAAAGGCTCACGAGATAATTATATTTTTTGGGTCATTTTAATAATCTGAAACTCGTAGAAGTTTATTTTCAGAAATTCTTGAGGAGCATGGAAAGCAATCACATTTGGATGCAGAATTTATAATGCGTGAGTTAGGTGGGGAAGTGACACAGGCATGTCCGGCAGGTGTCAGCATCCATGCGGCACGATCAGTTATTGATAGTATTTTGGCGGAATGTGAAGCAAAGAATGAGAAAACTCATTCAGCTTCATCTTCACCCGGAAGAACTTGATTTCTCAAAAACTTTCTTTTTTCAAAGGTTGTGATTAAAGATTTTTTTTAATAGAGAGGTAGATTGGAAAGCCTAATTCACAAGTATTTGCGTTAAACTCATTTCAGATATTTGTGTTACCTATTGCTTGACAAGCTATTTTGTGAAATATAAAAACATTTGTAAACTGTGTGTGATTAAGATTTGATTGATGCGTTCATCAGTTTAGATATACGTAACAGTGCTGCAACGTTTTACATCTTCATCTAAACAAAATCAAATCCTGTGGAACTGTTGATGTTAAATGACGTCGATGGAATCACATGAAGTTTTTTATCTTGATTATTAGGTGCACACTGGTTGTAGAAATATTTTGCGTGACATTTTTTGAGATGTTTTCCACTACCTTTGTCGTATTAGCTGTGAGCAAATGTGAACATGTCAAAAATCTTTTCCTAAAATTTTTTCTGTTTGATTGTATAAGTGCTTCGTGCAATTTGGGAAGGATTGGGTGTTTGTTTATTCTGAGTTCAAAAATTCATAAAAATTTTGCATATGTTTGGTTGGTTAAAATTGATGAGGGGGAGGTTGGTGAAATAAAGTGCATAACACGATTTATTAAGTCTTCAAGGAACGGGTGACTGCTAGCATTTGCGAATCTTACTATGAAAGAAAAAGGTGGATACTTTGTCCATTTCAGAGAAGTTACTTATTGCCATTCTTTTAGAGTTTTAAATATTGACTGATGAAATTGCTATTTTTTTTTTTTTTTTAATTCTAATTCATTTTAAATGTTTGACAGGTAGGTCAAATCTAGAAAAAGAGCTAACTTTATTTACAAATGATAGCAATGATCGGATGTGTACTACTAGCAGTGTATAAGAAAATATATGGTTAACTTTAGATTTGGACGCTTGATATATTTAGGAGTCTGATGTAATGGTTTTTAATTGCGGAGTAAAATTTTTCTAATTAAGATGCAGGGCATTCTGTTTTAGAACCATATCTAAACTGAAATTGCTGTTTTTTATAGGCTGCTAGAAATTTTGAAATGAGGAATTTGTTTCCATAAGTCCGAAAAAAATCTAGAGGAAGTTCATACAGTTTACAGAAAATTATGCGTCTTATTGAATGAATGCGATATTCGTTTTTATCACTTTTTTGAAAATCTTTTTTCTGCATAATTCGAAAAAATTATATTGTTGGCACCTTTTTATCCAATCAGATCTTTGTTTATTGAATAATTTTCCACTTTATGACGAAAACTTTGATCTCAAGAAGTTATGTTTCGGCTGAATGTCAGAAAGTACCATTATTTGGAAAGTGCACAGTTACTATATATGCGCAATAAATTTCAAATGCAAACCGAAAATCAGTAGCTGGTCAATTTGTTAATTAATGCTGTTAGATATTTTCAGCTACTAAAGCTTCTGTCTTCAGCTGTGTTGATCTATTCTCCTTATTGTTACTATTTCCCGTCCCAAATTTCTCATCTTAAATCCGTCTTTGAATTTTAATTCTCAAAGAGCACATGATGCACATATTATTTGCATATTTGAACATCAACCTTTTTGTTTTCTGGCTTGATGAAATGGAACATATTTCTGTAAATCATACATTTAGATTATATTTTATATGGAAACATTTATTGGTATTGTTTACACTATTTTGATACACGTGCTACATATTGGTTCATAAGGTGCTTGGGTGGGCGTCATTAATATATCTTCAATTTTAAGTTAGAATAGTGAATCTGACATGTTATTTTCCATGTTTCTATAAAAATCTGGAATATATAGGAAATTTATTATTTGGTTAAGTCAAATTTTAGAGGGGTTTTTTTCTTAACTGATTGCCAAAACAAGCAGTTCCGGTTGATTGGGCTTTACCGATAGTAGGTTTTTTTGATAGTTTTTTGTTTTTTGAAATCACTAGTTTGAAATAGAAGTTCAGCCTTATTTTCTTAAAAATGAGAAATTTTTATGATTCTTGGTTACCTTTAGTTACCTTTGCATTTTTTTTTTCATTATTTCCATATTCTCGTGCTCGTGCCAGATGTTTTGCAACTCAAGATTTTATTCTCCAACTTAGGATTTTAGCTTTTTGTTCAAATTTTGCCGTTATATTTCTCTCGAGCATGAAGGTGTGTCTGATAGTAAGAGATTCATCAACTTTGTGAGGAAAGGGAGATTTTTTGATTCTTTTTTTTCGTTTTGGCTGTGTGAAATATATGAGCTCATTTCAATGTAAAATAAACATTTTGTTTTGAATTCATTCGTTTCATGGTACATACGAACACATCGTTAATAATCAGGAAATGAACACAGACGTTTGATTAATTCATCTGAAATTTATGTTTTTAAAGATGTAAATATTTTCTCTGTGTGGATTGTCATACGATTTACAAGTGCATTTGGAAATTTTACATACTTTTAACAATAGCCGTTGGTTATTAGTATTTTAAATCGACTTGGTTTAACATTAGGTCACCTTGGGATAGGTGAACTTGGATTTATTTCGAGTTAAGTTAGATTGTTTGAAAACCACTTCATCATTTACGTATTACAATCAACAAGAAATGCATGCCATTTATCTTTATTAAATGAGAAAAAAAAGTGCAAGAGATTAATATGAGTGAAATATTAAATAGCATAGTACGACTAATTCCTTTGACTAGAAATAATTGCTGCGAAATCATCTAGAAATTAGGGAATGTTTCGAAATTATATTTTTTCAATTTCATCTTTACACTCGAACATGAAAGCTTAGTTTTAATCTTCTTTGTCCTTTAGGATTACGCCAGCTAAGATCAATCTCTATCCGATGAAGTACAACTTTGATAAGCTTCACCGCTAATAATAGTAAAAAAAAAAAAAAACATATAAATTTATTAAATTTCAATAGTATTAGTTTTTCTATACAATTTTGCCAAAGGACTGGCTTTTTGACTTCTTGGAAGTACCGAATGACATCCTACAGTTACGGTTTGGAGTGCCCGAGTGTATTCGTAGTAGCCTGTTGCTGGATCACATCGAATCCGCTTTAATACAGCTATCTGGAAAAAAACCGCAAATTTCAAATTTTTCCGGGTAGCAATATGATTCGTATTCGTCTTGTGTTTATTACTTATTCTACAAATATCTATCATTTATAAGTTATTGCTCAAAAACTTTACAGGTAGAGTAACGATTGCAAAAAATAATTTTTAATAACCTTTACCTGCCTTTTAATTGGCATACAATACGAGCCTGAGGTTCCACGACTACGACGACATAAACATTGTGCTTCAGAAATTATCTTTGGCTCACGATTTTCATCATGATTCAATCTAAAATTAAAAAGTATTTCAGAACAATGATTTATTTCCCAGAATGGACTCACTGAAAGGTTAATAGGTATTTAACAGGTGAACAAAGAGAGTTGAATTACCATCTCCCAGACGTTCTACATCTTCAGAGATTCATCTGTTCAAGAAGATATCCTATTATTTTGATCAAAACATATAACTCTAAAACTTTATTAGTAAATACTAAAAGCATTTTATAAAAATAATTCAGAGTTTTTAATAGCGCCACAACAAAAAATAACATAAAATTTTCCGAAGAGCTCAAAACTTTTGAATATTTTTATGAAATTAAGAACTGAATTTAAAATCGAATGAGTTATTAGCAAATACTAAAAGTATTTTTAAAGCAATTTAGTAGAAGAATGATCTGTTAAGAATCATTCAGTTATACTTAGGTTTTATTCGTTGTTTCAAAGTAAAAGTTCAATTTTAGAATGATTAGAAGTATTCGTTAAAAGTTGAATTGGTTTGCAACATTTCATTTCCAATCAGCTTATAACATTTTTCACCATCATGCTAATTTTAAAAGCAATCAATCTGCCCATATTTCTTGCTTAGCAATTTTTCCGGAACAGAAAAGAAAACCATGGAAGGTATATTTTCATAACCTAACTTAAAATTTAGAAACAAACTTCCACTGCCATGGACATAGAGATCGTTGCATTGTTGTAGAATTAATGCCTGTTATTGGTTTAGCATTACAAAAGCTCGATTCTGGCACTGGTGGATTCCAGTCTTCATCACCAATTTCCAGAATTTCGGATTCGGAAGTTTCAGCAAACCATCGAAATAACCTCCAATTCTAAAAATTCGCAAAGTTTGCTAAATTTTTAATTTTTAATTTCAGTTACAATTATGATTGCTGTAATTTTTAGTTTATCGAATTATCCAGTCTTATTATCAATTATTCTCGATAACAATGTAAATTTGATTACTACTTCGGCCTTACAAAGTAATCATAGTTATTCGGAATAATCATTCTTGAAAGTGGTGAATTTGCCGATATTCACAAATTGACGAACTAATTTTGTGGAGAATCTTACGATGGATTGTAAACGTAATTACATATGTGTCAACAAAAAGGTCACAGGAAAGTAGATGGAATAGAAATAAGAGAAGTTCAAATATAGGAAGAGCTTCTGCTTGTGATCCACTTTTTTTTCAAATAATCCAAGGCGCAGACTCATTTTTATCAGCTGACCCATATTTGACGTAAGAAATTAGCAATGAGAACAAATTGTTCGAAATTTGAAATGATTTTTCCTTTGTTTATTTGATTTTAGTTAAATAATTAACAATGACCATCTTAAACTGTCACCTTTCATCTTCCACTTCCCCTTCAAAAACCTTGCGACATAATTAATTATCCATTTATGTAATTATGTAATTATAACAGATGCTTTTGAAAGTTATTTGGATCTTATTTTCTTTGTATCGCTCATTTTTAAAGACAATGAGATTTATAAATTGTAGAAATAAAATATGCATCCGCTTATTCCTTAAAATTAAATTTTAGTCAAGTGTTTTAACTTTAGTACTTCTACAAAATGCAAGTTCAAAAAATTCTAAATGCATTTAGTTAAGTTTGAACACAATTATGATATACTTTTGTATTTAATAAACTGATGATGCAATTTTGAAATAATTTGAGGAAGCACATATTAATTTGAAAGTTAAAAGGCCTGTTAAAATAATTAAGAGATTTAGGCAAAATTTGGATTAAACTTAGTTAACACAATGATAATATGTTGAACATACCAAATCAGTAGGCTCTTTGCACAGGTTTCCAAAATGAATTTTGTGATGTCTAGCACTAGTAAATGGAACATACAATATTAGAAATATGATAAGCACAAGAGCGGTAAATGATATAGGTAGTTTCAATAGCCGAAGAATTCGCAGTGTTGGTAATAGAAGTTGCGTCGATGGTAGTAGCATGATGCTGCGGTGATATGCCTGATTCTTCTGGAGCATCCAAGATTGTCGTCCGTAGTCGACCGATCCGTGTCTCCATTTCTGCGCATCAAGTTCTCCGTTTGTCAACTATAATAACCTCCCACCTGTTCGCCAACTAATAGAGAGAGGGATGAAAGGAATGAGTAGTTAGAAATGAAAGGCGGTATATGACATTACAGCTGCAACACAAGATGACCCACAAAAAACCAGTGAAAAAAATCCCAGAGATAAAAGAGCATATCAGCAATAAGTTTGTTTGTCAAAAGAAAAAAGTGGAAATTTCAGGTTAAATTTTTAATAAAATTCGTGTTTTTATTCGCCATAGCTCTTCCATCATCAAAATATGGTAGTTCTGATAAGATTACTGGAAAAGAAGATGAAGAAATAGTTGCTAAACATGTTTCAATTTACAAATGTTGATGAAATAACACTGAAATTGTATTAATACATCAGAAAAATCAGCAAATGTGCGGTTGAAAATGCATCGAAACACATTGTAATCGTCAAAACATTGAAATATTAGCATTTAACAGTAACTCATATAGTACTTATCAATTGGTGCTTATCATACACATTGAAAAATTGAGTTTAGATAAGACAAAAATATCTTAATGTTTTCAAAAGTTATAAATTAAAATCATTTTTGCAATATTTCAGGTTTCTGTTCAGCGAGTGAAACATTATTATTTTATCTGTTCTAAAGTAATTTGTAACTGAAAGAATATTGCTGATGAAACTTCTAAAAATATTAAATCTGTATTTAAATAATAAAGCTATTATGTTAACGTGTAATCGATTTTAATAAAGCAAAATATGAATAAAATATCACATTTGAGAATATATGGATCATTAATATTTAGAATATCTTTTTGTCTCTCATTTCACAATTAGAATTGAGCCAGAAAGTCAAGCATGACAGAAATGATATTTCTAACAATAAACTGTGAACATTTTAGGAACTGAGCTTAGTTATTCATTTCTTTCATAAATAAATATCTTTTGAAGATAGTACAATTCCACTCAGTTCCTGGAAAAAATTATACGATGCTTTAAAGTAATTAAATTAATATCGGAATAGAATGAATGGATTACAGGTCGAGCTATAGCAATGCGAGAATCTAAACTTTAAGTTTTATTTTCATATTAATAAATTGTTTTCCCTAACTGTGCTCATTACTATTATCAATCATTTTTAACGCCAAATCGTCCACCATCAAATTCATTACATTGTATCACTATGCTGGTACATTTTTTGTGCACGCCTTTGTTTCCTTCCTTAACTCTTCTGTTTCTTTTGTTTGAAATCATTAAAACCCTGAGGGCCTAAAATTAAAAAAATTAGACGGCCTTGAAAGAGTGCAAAAAAATACGCAAGTATAATAAATGTCTCTGTGTGTGTGTATGTATGTGTGCATGTGTGTGTGTGTGTGTGTGTGTGTGTGTATGTGTTTATGTATGTGTGCATGTGTGTGTGTGTGTGTGTATGTGTGCATGTGTGTGTGTGTGTGTGTATGTGTGCAACATTCCTTTGTCAAACTTTGTTATAAATGTTAAATTTTATTTTTCAAAATTAACAAAAACCATTCCACTCTTTTAGTGATTGTTTTAGATTTAAATTGATACTTAATTAATTAATTTGCTAAGAGGAGATTGAATAATAACACAATATGAATAGATTCAACAACGAAAAGTAATCGAAAATTATTAATGGTATATTTCGATCAATGCTTGCTTTGAAACAAATTTTAATTAAAAGAAAAAAAAAAAACATTCACATTTGAAAGAATGAGAGAAGAAAACTCGACCAATAAGAAGCATTTAAAATTAAAATTGATAACAGATAACGATTAGTGTTTGATAACGTAATAGTAGCTCTCATCGTTCAGATCAATACTGATTTAATTCCTGATCTGATACAAATATTTCATGCATTAATAATTTAAATTATTGAAGTGAAATGTTAATAACTAACTCATTAAAATGTTAACACTTATTTAAATCATTTCAGCATCAATATCTGTTTTACTTAGTGGGTTGATCAGATGATTTTGAAGCCATTTTCTGTTAGCCTAATTTAATTTTGTAAAATTCTTACGGTGAGGTGGGTTACCTTAACAGCAGCAAAAGAAGTATAATAGAACAGAACGAATCATTCAACATTGCAGGAGAGTCCTATTCTTTCCATTGCAGATGTTTTGCGATCGTTTTCTGAAACACTGACCAAACTCACCCAAATTCCTACATTTAATATTTCCCGGGTCACCGAGAATAACGAAACCTACTCTCGATCACTATCCATTCCTATCAGTCTCTGTCGTATCCCGCAATTTCAACACTCTCTTCCACTTCTTTCCTAATGTCGCATTACCTCGAACATTTCAGTTACTTACCGGTTTCTCCAGTTCCGGTTACGGGATGCCTGAGTGCCGAAAGCAAAGTACCGTCTAATCGATCTGAAGAATTTTGAGTAATGGCTATTAGTCAAGAAGAGGTCAGTGGATGGACTGAGTTGAGGTCAGTCTTCAAGTCTCGTTTATATTTAAATTAGATGGAGCAATTCTATCTCTTTCTCAGCTCTCTTTTCAGCTGGCCATGAACTTCAATTGCGTTGTACTCATAGTAGCAACTCTTCAGAACTATTTATAATTCAAAATGGTTATTTACTAACAACGATCATTTCATTGTATTTCTTATTATAAATTAGAATATCCTAACTGTTCACGACAGAGTGCCATAAACACTACACTGAAGTTACGTCATTCATTGCAAATCGCATCACTTTGCCAACAATAAAAAAGCCTAAGCCTTGTGGTCGGTAAACTGTCAACGATTTGAATCTTTGCATTAGTCGTTTAGCGAATTTTTACCAGTTCACATTGCATTCAAAACTAAATCAATGATTTCACTGCAGTTTTTGATTTCACGATTTTTTCTGTTTTGCGCAGATCAGGTAGTGCTCATTCCAGTAAACACCGGAAAGTACTTCACAAGATTTTAGAGTGCTCAGTTTTTGAAGCATTTTATTCGATTCTGAGTTTAAGATAGAAAATATGACGAAATGCTTGTATAATAACAAAATGGTGTTTTCAGATTGATATACCAGTTGGACATCAGTTTGTAGAAGACGGTTCTCCAGTACCTGAAAGTATCAAAGAACTACCAATTTGGAGATGAAACCTAATGGTAATGCGAAAGTTAAGCTTGATATCGGTCAGGAAGTTAAGGAAGGATCAGAACAATTATTGAGGCAGGTTGGTCACATTTATATCTTTTAATCTGATAAATATCTCTTAGGCGGTTCTCAGTCTGATTATTCCTTTTTTTCCACTCGATGACTTAAAGTCTCTTTTTCGTTATGACAGCCAAGTTACATGCTTGCTTTTATTAACTTATTTTCCTTGTTGACTAAATTTACTAAATTTCTGTGCTTTGTTTATGTCAGAAAATTCTAAACTGTAAGAAATGATTAAAAAACTTTTTATCATAAGTAATTATCATTCTCTAGCTTGCTTTTTTGATGTGATTTGAGATTCTCTTTTTGTAACATTTACACTTCGGTTTTTTAACTTTTTCATAATTAACTCTCATTTCTGTAAAAAGAGCTGTCTATTAGCTCTTCGAAGTGAACTCAACACCTTTTTTAGTCTTCGTGGTGGCATAATTTAATGATATGCAAGTCATAAACATCCGTGTTTTTGATTTAGTATATCATGGCTGCAAATACAAACCGAAGACGAGATTAAAATTCATTTTGTATTTCGACAATGGACGTTTTTTATTTTCTAGGATAACGACGAAGTCGATGTTGGTGATGAAAACATCATAGATGAAGAAAACAGTGATCAGGCAGAACTTCAACGTACACCACGAAGTAGCGGGGACGATGAGGACATGATAGTGATAGAGGAAGATGCACCTGGCCCTTCCGACTCCAATAGAAGCGTGCTGTTTTATGGTGCAGGTAATGCGTCCTAGGTTTTGAAATTCTGACCACTCCAAGATACGGATTTTAAAGTAATTTAAAGTAAAAATAGGATCTGATGTGCATTTTTTTTTAGATCACGCAGCATTCCATTTACCGACAAATCTTGAAATTCGTGAAGGTGTTGACTACCAGTGTCCAGTGCAGGACTGGACAACGGAAGATGATTATTACGATGATACAGAACGTGAAACTTGCGTTTGGCGACCAACAGATCTCTTGGAAGTTGCTGATATTAATGACTACCTTTCCATTGCACTTTCAAGCTTCAATATTGAACAAGACCGGGTATATTTTGTTTGGTAACCTTGATATATGCAAATTGCATAAAAATTTTCTCACTAACTTATCGATCTACTGGTCTCGTATGTTTGTGTTACTGTGTTAAAATGGAACTCACTACTGAAGTAATATTTCAAATAAAGACTATTGTTCAATAATTAGCATAATTGCTGCTTCTGCTGTTCCTTGCTGGATAACTACTCATGCTTAATGGTAACCAGAAGATGAATCAAAGAAGTAGGTAGCCTTATGCCAAGATAGACAAACAGTAACGTGTTCTGTGTACAGTTATGCTATCAGCTAGGGCGCTCCGTTTTAAATAAATTGATCTTTTAAGATAGTAAACGACTGAAAGCATTTATGTTTCGTTTTCTTTTTTTTTTTTTCCTTCCTTAGCGTGTTGTACTGTCCTGCAAATAATTCAGTTTCAGGCGATGTTTATCTTGCAATCATCAGATTATAATATTGAAGAAGCTAAACATCAACTTGCCAAACGACGAATCAAAAAAGAGCCATGGAATGAGGAAGACACAGCTATTTTCAAGCAAGCATTACAAACATATGGAAAGCATTTTAATAAAATCAAACAGCTGGTTCGTTATTTAATGAATATATCTGGTTTTATTGACTTTATTAGTTTCTTTTTAGGACCCTTGATTAAGATGAGGTATTAGTAGAAGCTCAAATGGCTGATAATAGTTATTCAGAATAATTTACTGAAGCATTTCCGAAGAAAAAGGAGATTTGTGTTCTGCACTGAAAGTCACTTGACGTATAATCACATAAAATTTCGATTCAAAACAAGCTGAAATTAATTTCAAGTTTGAAGAATTAAGGAAGCATATGGTTAATGCAAGATCTGGGAGTTTACTCGTAAATTTGTGAAAGAATTTCAGTTACCACATAAATCAATAAAAGAAATTATCAACTTCTATTATGACAATAAGAAGAAGCTAAATTTTCGAAGTATTATTGATGCATACTTGGAAGAACACAATCCCGAGTCCAGGTAGTTGTTTTTTGTCGTACTCATTTCTCATTTATTAGTAATGGGTATATATACATTGGACAAACATTGACAAATAGCGACAGTACTGGCAGTAACAAGTTAGCAAATTATAGTCCAAGGAACGAAAAAGCTAAATGACAGTCTGGAACTTTCTTTCCAGAAATCATTGGCATATTTTGCTTTTCATTTTAACTGTGGTATGAATTAAGGACGGTTTATATGTGATTTAATACTAGCAAAGAAAAGTGGTTTCTAGTCTTATATAAAACTAGTCTTTTTAATTTTAGTTCTGAAGACGGCGATATTGATGCTATAGAGAAACAAAGCACTCGATGTTACAACTGTGGACAAATTTTAAATTTGCGTCAGATGGGTGACATAAAACTTTGCAACCCCTGTTTTATCCACTTTAGGTATCCATTAGTTTATAATTATTCAAGTTTTTTCTTTTTTTTTTTTTTTAATATTTGTTATTTGGAAGAATTAAAAACTTATTCGTAGTCATCCTTGTTAGAAGGACTTGTTCTCCACTGTTTTTCATCTTATACATATCTACATTGTTTTGGAGATTTTGAGCAAATTGAAATACAGAGAAACATTGAGTTCCTTATAAAATATATTTAAATCCATGAACCTTGCAGAAATTATCATCGTCACAGACTATGCCTGAAAACAATGAATTTTGTTGTGAATGCTAATGCTGAAGAAACTATTAAATGTTCTAAAGGTGATTTTTTGGAAGCACTTTAAGATTTGAAAATCTAAAATACTACAGAATCTTTGTTTCTTTGCAAGAATTTCAATTGACTAGATGAAGTATTAGATCGGCCATTACGATTCTAGGTATAGCGGAAGTTGTGGAACGATTTGTGGAATTTGCAACTGAGGAAGAGGTTACTGCACAGTCATCATCATCATCTATGAAAGGCGTTACTGAAGTAGATGACGATGATTTGCAAATTGTCAGCATTATTCGACCACCAGAAATGCGATACATACGGATTTTAAAGCATGTGTTTTTGTGATTTTCTAGAATGTTTTGAAATAACGACTCTTTATTTCGATGTTTTTTGATAATTACGTTTATTTTTATTTATAACTGGTCTTTTGGACAAAAACTTGTACTTCAAATACTTCTGCTTTTTTCATCTGACATCCCATCATTGAATGGATTATGGGATGATTTGATAGCATTGTGATAGAATGTAAGTCTCTAGTTCTAAAATACTATGAACAATTTAACACTGGAAATAGACTGTCTTAGCGATCTTAAATTTTCTAATATTTTCATTGTTTAGACAACTGGAACGGGAAGAAATGCTTGCACGAGGAAATTGTGTAAGACTGGAACATATATTACGAATTCAATTTGAAAAGGAATTAAATGAAAGTTGGTTTAGATAAGATTTTCAATTTTGTTCTAAGGTTTTGTGCTGATGTGAATAAGTAATTTATTTTAGAGTGGAATGGAAAGATTTTGTTTAAATTGTTCGTAATATTTTAGATTTGGAACGTTATCGAATTAGTCGACTTCCGTCTGCAACTTCTGGTCGTCCTCGACGTTCTCCATCATGGTCCTACAAAGAAAAGTGGCAGGCTTTATTTGGTGAGTATCACTTCTTTTAAAAACAAATCAAATTTCAGAAATACATTTCCTTTCTTCAAATGCTACTTACAATTTAGAAATATTTATATTTGTGTATAGTGGCTAATGTTTTCTAATTGTTTAGTAGCTGCGGCGATTTTTCGTCTTTCCTCTTTCCATGCACATAATATTCTATAATTTTTTTGAATTTCTCCACATCATTTCTTTTTTTTTTAAATAGCATTTCAACGATATGGAAAAGATTTTGATACTATTGCGGAAGTGCTGGAAAGTAAGACGCCAGATATGGTGAAAGCTTTTTATTATGAAATGCGAGAGCAAATTGACGATGTAAGCTTGCTTATGTTTTTATCATTATTTTGTAATGTTATCTTCAAAACTTTAGTTAAAACGCTATCTTTCTGGTTGCATAGATGTTTGGAGGAGAATTTTAGGACTCTGCTGCTCCGGTTTTGGCTCTAGGGCTATTTTCCGGTATATAAAAGGAAGCAATTAGATAACATAAGATGAGACAAAAGGGAGTTAAAAAAAATGAGTGAAAATGAGAAGTTGTAAACAGTAGTATTGCATGCATCTCTTTGAGATATTTTGATTATTAAGTTTTAGTCTTATTACTGTAATGGTATTAATATTAATTTTTCAATTCATATGATCAGTTCTGTCATCAGTGTTGAACGATTACAGCAGAGGAATTTATGATGCTTAAATATTTGATTTATGAAACACAGAATTTATACTAATCTTGGAATTTTGAATGCCTTCAGTTTCAGATGATCAGCAAAACCAGCGAATATTATCGCAGACTATCTGAAACTTATGATTTTAAACGAAAGGTCGAAGTTGATACATCAAACGAGATTATTGATATCGAATAGAAATTGTGTATTTTTGTCAAAGATGCTGTAACTAATTCTTTTAATTTTTGATACATCAATGTCTTTAAATAATAAATTCTCGATGTATCAGAATGGTTATGGTAGAAGCTTGTTCAGTTCTGAATGCTTCTTAATTACAAAGCATAAAAATTTTTTGAATATTGTGACTTTTGCAGTTTTATTCAAATCTAGGAACAAATTTTCTTCCTAAAATAGTGAAATTCTTTATTCGAAATATATGATACATTTCAGTTTTGCTCATTTCGTTTTTTTTCCTCCAGTTTTTGTGAAGTGTTTCGAAAATTCTTGAATTGTATTTTTTTTTTTTTGTTAAGTCAGGTTGATGAAACATTAGAGTTGTGAAGTCAAATGTGCTTTTTATTTCCATTGTCTTTTATGATTGAGCTTGTTAAATAATAATTTTGACTAAGAATTTTATCTTAACTGTTAATCAAGTATCGGTATTTCGAAAAATCATAGACACAAAAATCATTCAAAAAATCATAGATACCATAAAAAATCATAGCTCTGCTAATAAAAAATTAACTTGATTTATATTAAAATTAAATTTTCAATTCAAGGTGAAAACTTAAGCGAAAATTAAAGTGGAGATTTGAAAAAAAATTCCAATGGTGGAAATACTTAATCCCAGCTAATATTTTTTTAATTTTTTTTCTTTTTTAGAATGCTTTGAAATTAATGAAAAACTATTGAGAAGCTGCGAAGTCAGCAAATCAGGAATTCATTAGGTTAGTTGCAGGAGTAGTTATTCATATAAAAGAGGGTATGCGTTTTATGCAACCATATAATACGCTCAAAATATCAGTCGGCTAAACTATTTCAAGGATTAAAAATTACTTCGTAGTAATCTATGAACCTTTCGGATTCTGCTCATTCGGAACTCTTTTCGACTTTTGGTTTGCATATATTTCTGGGCATCACTCCGCTAATGTAGCAGCTTTTAAGCTGACCGTTTTTTTTTTCCTGATTCAGTCAGTATTAGGGAGAAGTACGTCGTTAACCTGGGTTGATATTAATAGCACTGAAATTCAGTAGTAGGTTATTGGGCATCAATCTGTGTTTTGGATTCTTTTGTCAACCTACTGTAAATTCAAGTACAGTGAAATTTCGGTCCTTTGATGTGAATTATCGTTGTGTTCTGTCCGTCTATTGTACATTACTAATAATTATAAACCTTCTAAATTACATCGTAATTAACCAAAATAAGAAAAATCACTGTCACCCGAAGTTGACAAAATAAGAAGTACAAATAACAAAACTAAAAAAATAACATTAAAATGAAAATAAAAAAGGCAGCAAAAATAAACGATGAACTCGAAATTATTTTAAATCTTTTAATCGAGAATTAAAAATAATGCAAAAAATTATATTAGTATTATAAAAAACATAACTAAAAAGACAAGAAAAATAATATTAGGAAAAAAATAGCAGCGAAAAGATTAATATAGTAGGAAATATGAGATAAAAAAAAAGAAAACAAACGAAAAAACCCAAAAAAAAAAAAACGTGATTAGATCCCAAAATAAACATTCCACTCAAAAAAGAAAAAGAAAAAAACTAATAAAATAAAGTAAGAAATATCAAATACGAATACACAATGAAATACACTGACTTATAATATAAAACCTTAAACATAAAAATACAACTTTTCATTAGTTCTCCAGTCTAAAAAACTCCAATAAAAAGCAACAAAGCAAAAAAAAAGACTAAAATAAAAGAGAAAAGTTAAAAGTCGAAATAAAAAAATTTAACTTTGAAAACTAAATGTTTATTAATTGAATTAAATCTACACTTATTATAATATCGTACACAGCAATAACTATAAAAAGAAGTATTCTTACAACTTTCCAGCATAATCCAAGGTTCAGAACATTTCTTCAAAAAAGAATCTGGTAAAGAATGTACATTAAAAATACAAGAAGAATCTATACAAGAATGAATAATCTTAATGAAAAAAGTCAAGAGTTAAACAACCAAAAAATAAATTAAAATAAAATAAAATAATTCCTTTAGCGAATATATCAAATTAGATTCGAAACCTCCTTCCATAATTCTCTATCATTTCTCTTCATTCATTCCACTTCAATAATTCCTTTCTAATTTTTCCATTTCATTATATTCCATTTAGCTAAATGATTGTGATTAAATTAAGGAAAATTTTTCGCCGTAATTTTTTAGACAAATACTTCAACACGTTTCAAAGTAACTTAACTTGCTTTCTTATTTCAAACATACTCGAGGATTAATATGTCAATGAAGAGGAAGTGAAATAGTTTCGTTCATTTTAAACAAAATTTGAAATTTGAATTGTTATATTATTGAAGTGAAGAAATATCAGTTAATGATTAATTTCTTTAGCTGATATAAACTTGCACTAGTTGAAAGTAAAGCAGAAAGGCGGAGAGTAGCAGTAAAGAATAACATTGATTTCCTTCTCTACCCTCATTTTACTAGTGAAATGAAAAAAAAATGGGAGGAATACCAACAATTTTTAAAAATGTCTCTCTTTAACACTGCAAACTTTAGTCAACAAATTTTGTTTATAACATTTATTTTCTTATTCTCATCAAATTTTCCTTTTCAAATGATAATGAAAATGACAAAATGAAGTTAAATCTCTAAATACCTACCTATTATCCTTTTTTATGACAAAGTGGTAAGCATTTCAATAGAGCTCAACTTTAATATATGAATTCAATTGTCTTTTTTAAGCTCTAGCAAACAATTCAATAATTTAATAACTTTGCACTCAAATTTTGTATGAATAACTGACATTAACTTTCTTTATTAGCTAAGCATTAGTACTTATTACTAATTATTATCTCTAAATACTGATTCAGAGACATTACTAATTTTCCTCATTATTAACATTTAATGTTTAATTCTAACCATGAAGTAAGTATGAGAAACCGACAAGAATTATTGACGAATTCTTCATGCATTTCTTACATCTTCTTGAATCTCTTGCAAATTTTTTAGTTCATTTGAATTTTATCCTTCCAATTGTGACAAATATCACTATCTTTCAGAAATCTTGATTGAAAAATTCTTGAATTTGCCATTTAAAGAAGAGTTATATGTATCAACAGCTGTTTTTCTCTTAAAAGTTTTAATTGTCCTAATAAATAGAAATGAACTTTATCCCTACAATCATAACTAATACTTTTCAATTATAAATCTTTTCTCTCGTTCTCACTCTCTCTCTCTCTCTCCTCTCCTCTTATTTCCTAAATGTAGTAAAACTAATCTCGAATTATTCGTTGAAATTCAGTACTGAATAGAAATTAAATTTGATAATTATTGTCAAAACTAATCTATTTGTTAGCATAGCTATTAATTTATGTCCATTAAAGAATATGCAATAATAAGCTGAGCTATTGCTATGACAATTTCTTTGCATTAATAATATAAATGGTCAGAATGAGATGCTGCGAAGATCTCGGAAATCAATAATTTGTTACTGGAAGACTTAAGATAAGCTTTCAATAAGCTTTGTTAGATCTAAAATTACTGGGAGATCATTCTTCAAGAATTTCTTGTTTTCCATTTGATTAAAAGTACCACAATAGCAATGGTACTTGTAAGTATTAACATCTTCCCAACAATACAGATAGATTCTCGTAGTAATGATGTATTATCGTCACACCTGCTGCTTTTCTATCATTGTTCATTTGACCTGACCTAACCTGACCTGACCTTTGCTCAGCTCTCAACAATTTTATTATTGCCAAAACTTGCAACCATATAAGATTAGTTCTGTCCATTTTCGTTTGCCATAAAACAGTTAATTCTATCTTTTTTAAAAAAAGAGAATTACTGAAGATGAAATTTATCGGAATTTTTGATATTTTTCCATTTGAAAGTCAACATTTTAGCTTTGAGTTTGATTTTTGGTCAATTATTTCTTGCTATAAAGTAATATATAAATCGTAAGTATTGTCACCTGATCTTTCTATATAAATGATAATATTATTGGTACAGTTAATATCTGCTAATGCTATTCCACTGTTAATTTGTCCTAACTTAGTTTGATTTTATTTAGCTCAAATCAATTTTATTATTATGATTCATCCAAAAAGCTAAACAAGAAATGATATTAAATTTATCACATTCTCCTAGTTTAACTCCTTAAAGCTTATCTGTTGTGCATTTTACAGTGAATGCTACTCATCAATTCCAATGATTTCATTTTTATGAAATGTGGATTATCAGCATTCGAAATCTAACTTTTTCTTATCACTTCGACCATCCATTTGGCTTCTTTGTTGTCTTTTATTGATCATATCAGCACATATGTTTTCACTTCAATTTACACTGCTAACATCTGGCAGCTCCGCCACAATCTGTTCGTCAATTATGGATTTGCCAGAATGTCGGTATCATGAATGCTGCAATGCACAGATTGTTGTCTGTTCTCTATTATCTGACAATTAAAATTAAAGCTGTTATCACTGCTGCATTCATTGCTCTCAGTATCATTATCACTAATCATTCAGCAGATAGCAAAATTAGATGTTTTAGAGATTTTGATGATTGTTTTCATCATTTTGTTATCAGAATAATCAGAATTGCTCTGAGATGTCTTACAAAATTGCTATGTTAACTCGCCTCTTCACACATCACTCTCATTCAATGTTCTCTTTTATTTTCAAAATGTTATTTAAGTATTCGATTTAATTGCTTTCTATTCGGAATTTTCAGAGTTAAATTAATGGCATTTTAACTATTCAGGAATGCTACTAACATTGTTATGGCTACCTATACTTCCCATAACATCCTCATCACCATTTCAATGTTATTCATGTGGTGTATTTTTGAGTGCTCCAACAGCAACCTGTAAAGGTGAACCAAAAAAAATAAACTGTACTGGTAGTGGAATTCGAAATGGTTGCATTTCAGTTACTGCATTAAATACAGTTTGTTCCGCTTCCATTTTACAAAGATATATTTGCATATCTTATCAAAATTTTATACCAGCACTTCTCCAATTTTCATTTTATGCGGATAATAAAAATCAAAATTTTCACAATGATTCGGTAAAGCTTTTTTCAGATCATTTGAGAGCGAAATAGAAAAATGCAATGTTCAGGAATGGACAAATGATAACATTTTAATAGTTTTTGAAAAATAAAAAAAAAATAATAAATAAATAAATCTTCCTGTTCAATTTGTTCATCGGTAAATTTGAAAGAAGAAGGGGAAATATAAAGAATTAATTACAAGTTTCCTTTAATATTTGTTCATTAAATACATTTCTGTTTTATCCTCTGAATTATTTTTGATTAGTTATTCAAAAACCTTGAAAAATTTATTAAACTGGTTATCAATAGTTTATTGATTGTATTTCTGTAATTTAACTATTTGAGTAATTTTAAGCTTTCTTAAAATTAAAAATGTCAGAGCAACGATTTTTTCTATCATAAACAATTTAGAAATTCAGCAAGAGTAATAATTTGGTGCCCTTCCGTCAATTGTTATAGTGCAATATTTTCTGATAAGATAGATTATTTCAAATTGATTATTTCAAATGAAAAAAAAAAAGAAAGAAACAGTAATTAAAATTTTCAGGATGGTTCATACTACGTTGAAAAACGATGTGCAGATTCGGAGGAGAGAAAGCTAAAAGATGGTGAATGTGTGAATATGAATGTCTGGAAGTAAATTCTTTTAATTTTTGTTAGTAAAACTTTCGGATGGATACATGAAGTGTTGATAAGTTACTGATAAGAGACATAAAGTCAATGGATAATGAATATAAAATATAATAAAATAGCAGTCAATGTTATCATTTAATCCAACTTCATTTTCCTTTTCTTCTTTAATCTCGAAATTTTACAGATTGAAAGAGATGAGGAAGTGCTATTGTGCCAAAGAACTGTGCAATGGCCATTCAGCAACTGCAGTCACCACCACTTACCTATTCGTTTCAAATTTGTTCATAACATTTCTCATAATTTGTTTGGTAAATAAATCACTGATATAATTATAGTAGCATTTGCATTACATTTCATAAAAAGATGAGAAAATAAATTGCAATATAAAATGGGTAGATTAAGACTTACCGATAGATAATGCAGGTAAGTGATAATGGGTAGATTGACAGTACTGTTAGATAGTTTCTATTCTTTAAAATTTTCAATGAAATTTCATTCAGATATTTTGCTATTTATAACCTTCATGCATTGTGTCACAAGAGAGTTATCAGCTATAGCGACAGATTTATGACAGTGACATGTTCAACCGAGTAAATGTTACAATGACAGATACTTTATTTAAGCATACAGTATATCCAGGACACTAAGAAATAGTCTTCTGATGTTTGTCTCAAGTGATCAAGGAATAGTAATCAAGGGATTCTCTAGTTTACCATTTACCATTTCAGTTTTGTGCAGCTCTATATGCAGTCAAAATAGAATTTCAGATATAATTTAATCGAAATAGCCACTGATGAGTCATTCACATAGTTTAAAGTCATATTTAATTTAATCTCCCTCCAATTAAATTATTTGTTAATTTACTGCACTGATTTAAAAAAAAAAACTCTAAAGTAAAACAAATAAAAACCATTGGATTAATTTTTAAAAGAAATTGAGTGATATTAATTAATTAAAACTTTGTTTAATGGACAATATTTCAAATAGACTGTAAAATTTTGGATTAAATTTTTTCATTTTTTTTCACATTTCTATCTTTGCTAATTTCATCTTTAAATAATGTCATATAGGACTGGTCACTACAATCAACTCTGCTCCCCTACAACAACAACAGGTATTTATCCATAAACGATGTCGTAATAAAGTTACTATTCTTCAAATAATACCTTTATTAAATAATGCCTTAAGGCAAAACATTTCCTTCGTTCCGATTCTCTTAATTTCATTTCACTCAATAAGCAGTATGAATTTATTTCGTGGTTTATCAAATATTAAAACTACAGTATTCAAGTATATCTTAGCTACAGTACAACTCTCATTAACGTTTCATTCGAGAGGAATTTTCAAAAAAATATACTCATTTGTCGTTAAGAATACAAAAAAAAAAAGTTGCTGTAATTTTTTAAAGGAAAAAAAAAAAATTATGATGGGAAAATTTTGTTTGTTACTTTTAGATTTTAAATTTCAATATGTCCACCTGCCTTCTACTTTTTTTTTCAGTTTTTTTTAACTAACAGATAGCTCTCGTTAATTTGAAATAACCATTTAGAAAAGAGAAATGTGGGAAATACTGACAATAAGAGAGACAAACGATTAATGAAATGAAATGTTTTTTTTCTCCGTTTTTACTCCAAATCCTTTCCACTTATACTCCAAAAAAAATTGTCATAGAATTAAAATGAAAAAAGAGAAGATAGAGCGATGATAGATTAAAGAGTCTTAAAATGACAAATATTCTCATTATAAAAGTTGTTTGTTACTTCTTTTCAAGATTCATTTTCAAGCAGAAATATAACTGAACGAAAAATGTTAATAATTCATAAACAATAAGACTTTTGCAAAACAACAAATTAGATTAAAAAAAATTCTTTAGTAGGTTCTTTAAAAAATCTTTCAATCAGTTTTTTTAACTATTTTTTTAAGCGAATTTCTGATGAAATTTTTTCCGTTAACAATTTTTAGAAAGCAAAAGAATTCTGGCTAAATTAAATTTTGAGAAATGTTTTGCCTTGCATTTGATTAGCATCAAAATTCCATTTTCCGACTTATAAATTAAGTAAATTGAATAAACTTCAATTCATTTCACGTATCCACAGTACTTCATTTATTCTTAATCGCAAGATTTAAATGAAAATGTGGATGATGAACAATTCCGAACTTAAAAATTTTTATCTAAACTTTAAAAATTTTGGCATAAATTTTATTTTGATAGAAATTCTATCAAAGATTTTCATCAAATATTTGATGAAATCACAGTGTAAACAGAATGACGTACGTTAGTTTCACGTGGCATGTATTTAGGTTGAATATGATAATTATTGTAAATCTATCATGAAAAGATTAAAATTGTGTTATTTGAAAATGATTTGAAATAAAGAATATATCGTTGTATCGAAAGATGTAAATATGAATTAGATAGAAATTTTAAAGGAATTATTTATATTCACTGGAAAATGTATCATTCATGGTAAATTCATTGAGAAAAAAAAAGGACATAGAAAATTATTTCACTTTTTTGTTTCTTTTGCCATTCTATGTTGACTGATCAGACGAAAAGTCGTAAAGATTTTATAACACAGCTTCCTTCTTTTAAGTTGATATCAAATCCCTCTTCTCAATTCATCATCCTAACTGATAAATCGATTGAGATATAGGAGATAATTTCGAGATCAATTTCACTTGTTTGATGACAATATAGCTATACACTATATCTTAGTAATATTTTCAAAAAATCTCAACTTATTTCATTTCTTTACTTTATCCTAATGATAAATGATGACTTAAGTTCATAGTACCCTAATTTGTTTGATTATTTGATAGCAATTCTCTGCATTATGCTAGAAGCGTTTACTACTTCAAAATTACCTTTCAAATATTTGCGATAATTTAATTCCAATTTACAGCCAGCACTTTACAATTTATTCATTTTCATGCAATCTAAACTACTTGCTGTTTTTACTTCCAAAGATACGGCAGTAATTGAGTGATCGTTAGCTGATGTCCACTTCATGAAGAAATTCTTTAGATTTGTTTATTTCAATAAGCATTCTATGTCGAACAATACGCAGTACCATTCATTAATCTCAGATTCTTTTTCTCTCTCTCTCTCTCTCTCCCTCTCTCTCCATTTTAAAATCTAAAAAAATTGCACTCTTAATCACATTTGCAAAGAAATAAATACCAATTTTTTTTTCCAGGAATGAATTGCAGAAAGTTATTATGGCAAGTGATAAGCATTTTGTAATCTTTGAATTATTATTATTATCAATTTTACAAAGGATAAGAGTTGGAATATGATAATGAAGAGATCCACCATTTTAGCAAGTATTAATACTGAATGAGGAAGCTTTAACCTGATGATTGTTATCTTTAATAGACATACCGTTTAATTGTTCATTTCAAAAGTAAAATTGTCACAGCGTTAAAAAAAATCAAGTTAATTCAAATTGTTTTTAAGTTATCACAAAGATTATTTGAATTATAATACTATTTTTGCATCGATTAGAAATATTTTTAAAAAACATAAAAACAATTGGAAAATCGATGCTACCATATGCATATATTGAGAGTAATGAGTTATATATAGTAATTAAAAAAAAAAACATGACACTCGAATAAGAAGACAGAATTCTGAAAATATGCAAACGAGATGAATCAAAAAATGAAAAAAGAAATTTCCAGCTATCTTTGTAACTCATTACTTTGGTATTCAATTCTCAAAGGAAGGAAGTGAAGATGATTTCAATTCGAAGAATCATTTTTATCCTTTTGAAGTATAACTAGCTAAAATCTATTTCTCTATTCTTTCCCTTTTTTGAGAAACTAGTAAAAATGAGAAGGATGAGAAGCATATATATATAATTTCATGAAATTCCACATTTTTAGTGACAAGTGATCGATCTATTTATCCATATAAAATTAATATCGGAAAAATTTTTCAGTATCATAAAATAAAAATGTAAAACTTCTTATTAAACAAGTCGAAAGTTCCCGTCATCACCCATTATTCTACTAGAAATTTTCCTTCTTGAACCAAATATTCTAGATTACACGATTATACTGCTGTTTTGAACGTGTCTAAAGTTAAATAAGAAAAACGAAAAGCACTCCTGTCATATGGTACAACTTGTTAAATGAAATAGTTACAGTAATGAGAAGTTGTACGGTTGATCTGCCGAATTTATGATCGTTTAATTTTAACTAGGAAACATGAAAGAACACTATTTCAACTTATTTAAAGATGGTTGAGCCCAATATTCTTCAGAAATAACGGATAAAGTATCTTGAACAGATCCACTTATGTGACTATGATTGAAAAAAATAAGGGAAAAATATCATAGAACATTGAAATAATTTAAGAATTTTTGGACCATTATAAAATATTAAAGTTTTTGAACAAATGAGATCGAAATCAAATGGACATTTTAATGTAATCATATGATGCAGGCACATATGGTAGAACTATTTGCATCAAATAGCTTAATACAAAAATACTACGGGAAATCGTACAAAGATTTTGTCCTTTTACATCAAACGCACTTTTTACAAATTTAATCTCATTACTCATATCTATGATTTGGCGAGATGTAAAAATTTATTCGCGTTTCTCAGTCTAACAATCAATTCAAGATATTCCGATGACCTTCATTACATGACTTCCCATTACAAAAATTTTTTTTTATTTTCCATTGAAGGAATTACTTTATCCACTGAAGTTCTGTTGGAAAAAGCATACAAATAAATCCCTACCAAACAGAAAAATTAAAGAATTCCAAAATGTTCTATGTTTTGAAATTCTACAACCTTAGACAACAAGAATCGCCATGCTGAATAACGCTTTGCTTCTTCCCAAATTTAATCATCAATTTATTTTTAAATGTATTTACAATAAGGCGTCTTTACTAGAAAAAAAAAAAAAACAAACAAAAATCTAAACGAACAGAAAGAAAAAGAAACGCAATGTACTTTGTATTTCCAGCGCGCATTATCAATACGCAACTAAATCATTTTCTATTTCACTGAGTGTAAATTGTGAGATCATCTGATAAACTACCATATGTGCTGATATAATAACAAATGCAATGAAATACAGAACATAATCCCTTCACAATGATTACAAATAATGTGACCAACGATACTGTAAAACAAGAATCAAACAAAAAGATAATTATGACAGAAAAACTTGAGCATACTTTAAAATGGCAATTTTCTTGGTAAAACATATCGAATTTCTGTTAGTTATTCACTAACCAAGTTCTAAAACATTTTTGAAGATGAACAACACCGGGACGACTTTAGCACACCCTGATAAGCTATCATAAGTATTGATACAATATCATGTAACCAAATTAACATATGAAAAAATTCTTTTTTCGTTCTAAACAAAAATCAACAAATATTTTTGCCGTAAAGATAATAACTTCATGAATTATACAAAAATTAACTTTCCTTATTTCAAAAAAATATTTCAAATGCAAGCCACAACATTAGATGATCAGCTTAGTAAACAGATAACAGTTTAATCTCATTTACACACATAATATAGCAGATTTATTTCTATAAAGTTGACCTTAATCTTAATGACACAAAAGTAACAAGGGATTAGTCAGGAAACTTAGCGACAGCAGTTTAATAACAGAACAGAAAAAGAAGATAAACTAGGAATAGAAATGCGTATTCAATGAAGAAATCATAATGACGATTTTTCAATATCAAAAATGCGAAGTAGTTCAGCGAACACTAAAAAAATTAGTAGAAAGAGTATGGATATCTCATAGCAGACCTTAATCTACCAACAAAACCTTCACAACCTACAAAGGAATATCTTACAGAACAAAATTTGTAAGTATAAATTGAACGACTTCGCATAAACAAAAAAAGAAAAGATTAAATCTGAATAAGTTGGAATTTTATTAAGAAAGTGAAGCTGAAAAGTAAGAGGATCACCCGATTCTCCGAGGTTTATGAAGTGAAATCACGCAGGGATCTTTGATAAGTGGAATATGATCTGTAGACAAGGGCAGAGACAATTCACTGGGAGCAAGTGATAACCAATCATGCAAGCCGCGTGATGATGCAAGACGTTGCTTTAGATTATGATGAATGGTATACATTTGGGTCGTTTCAAAATGTGTAAGCAGCATCAAAATCTGAAACATTCTCTCAATTTCTGCTATTTCTATGTCCTTATAAGAAATGAACACTTTCAATTTCAGTTTAAATGAAAATTAGTCTATATATGGAAGAATTATGGGAAAGTGAACCTGACGATGCATTGGTGGTATTACGTCTACAGAAGTAAGACTTGCACGTGTTGAAAGTACATTAGCTGATTGTGAGCAATCGCAATAAACCTAAATTCAAAACTGCATTCAAAATTGAATTAGATATTTATAAATCATTAGTAAATTTGATTTAATAAAGAAGAATTTAAAATGAACATTCTGAATTATAATTTCAACAAAAGTTAAGTTTTACATGTAGAAAATGGCGGTGATGATGATTTTCGACCATCAGTATATGTCCACCAAAGTCCTTTGATACATAACGCGTAACTGTACCATCTAAGCACTAAAGACTATTCATTTGAAAATCTTTAGATGTAGCACTATCTAGTAAGCTATCTACAGCAAAAAGTTGTTGGAAATAGCAAATTTTCGGCTTGAACTTTATTCTATTTGATATTGTTTCTTTGTTTGATTATATAAGGTGGCTTAAAGTCGAATAATGACATGTAAATAAGTAAAAATTTGCATAAAGAATCATAACTTACTGCTTCAGAAAAAAAAAAAAAAAACTTATGACAGCTCTTAATAAAAAAAAAAAACTGAAAAACAAATGAGCATATGCATAGATGAATTAAACAAACAAAAACCAAAAAAGTTTCGTATTCAAAAGCAGTGTTCTGCATAACTCACCGGCGCTTTCTGACCCTCTTTTAAACACATTTCAATCATTGAATGTGCAATAACTGATGACGAGAAACAGTAAGCTTCCATCATTACCATTTTTGCACTGAAAAAATATTCCGGAATAGATTGTGCTCTTTGCGTAAAACGTTTAAGTATGCATGATTTTTTTTTACAAAATACGTATTATGTAATGATTTATTTTAAGTTTTTCTATAACTCAAAATTATAGAACATTTTTCGGACTTGTTATATTTTAAGATCTTTTTTATTCTATTTGCAATGCAAGGCCAATTAGTATGCAAACAACTTTTTTCAATTTTTAGCAACAGATTTTTCCATAATTTCTTTTAAATTTTTTAAAAATACTTACCTATGAAGAGCAACAACCGTTTGAATTGAAATTGGATCTGACATGTTACTGAAGGATATAGCAAGTACAGTATACAAAGCTGGGCCATTCAAGAAAACATCTTTAGTGCTCGCAAATGCTATACTACGGCGGAATGATCTGCAAAAAAAATACAACAAAGTTACTTAAAAATTTTTTTGAAAACTGGAAAAATGGAGCCACATTGTAGTTGATTTGTGGACAATGTTTACTATTTATAGAGTGCGACTTTGTACTAGGATACATTTACTCCCAGAAGAAAAAATATCAGTGCCCCAATTATTATTCCATTCAAACCCATAGGCTCGATTTGCACCGATCTCAAGAATCATTATCTTATAAAAATGAAAGGTTGAAAAAAGACTATCCCAAATAAAAAAACTGCGTAAAAATTAACATAAGTAAATTCTACAGTTTCTCGTGATATAATTAAAGAGAAAAGTTCTGTAAAATTCACCTTACGATAAGTTCACCTATTTGCATATTGGAAGGATTATTTTTATGAAGCAATACCATTATATCACTATCACATCGATCACGAGATCCTTTCTGATAAACGGTAATAGCCAGTTCCGTAGGTTCTTCGATTTGAAGTTGAAAACCTCTAAACGGTTTGAAAACGTTTAATTATAAAGACGTGAACCAGAATAACAAAGGCACATGTTAGACCTAAGGAATTCTTTTTTAAAGCATTTTTAAGAAAGAGGAATACAAAAACACAAACCAACAAAATACAAGAAAAATCAAGAGAAATCCTAAAGATCAAGTTACTTACATAACGTTTTCTTTGCCCCAGAACTGTGGTATCGAGCAATCAACCCGAATTTCTTTCCAACCCTGCGCTGACCGTACTTTCGCCACTTCAACCTAAAATAGTGTTTCACTCTGTAAATACACATAATGGAGTAGTTGAAAATATATTGGTTCATTTCCATAATCATTTGAACGATTTATAGTGATTAATGATAGATAAGCAATAAAATATTCACATCTATGCGGTTTTCAATTTAACTTTTCAAATTAAAACTCACAGAATCAAATCGTTGCATAAAATCTAGAAAAGGCATCCAAAACGCGCCTGCCTCTGGACCATCTGGTAACAATATTCGACGACTTGTTTCATCCCAACCTGACCAAGTATCACACCAAGGTCCATTCCAAGTAAACGAACCCCAAGGATTTCGTAAGCGAACAACCCTAAATATATGCGAACCTTACGGAATCTTGATGGCACATTTTATAATCTGCTCTGCTACTCAGAATTCTGAATTTTAAGGACAAATTGAAAAATATGCCTTTGATTGTTATATTCTTTAACATCTAGCAGAGAATATGCATGCCGTATTTGTAACCCTACTCGTCTAAACTCAGCTTCATTTACATAACGTCTTCCGCTACCACAACTGCAACCCATAATAAAACCTGCTTCTCTGCAAATGATAGTTCTGTTATAGTCTGAAAAAAAAAAAAAAAGATTTGAATTTAAATGAATACATGACAGTGAAAAAAAGTTGGCAAAACTCAATTATGAAAAGTACACTAATATTTTAAATATATGGCACCGAATCCTAATAGTAATGCTTTAATGTTTACTTATAATTTTACGAATTCTAATCACTGTTCCTTCACCATCTCATCATTTCTCTTCACTCGTTGATTCATTTAAATCTCAAGAAATTTGATGACATAATATTTTTGGAAGCATCATTCTTGAGATGAAATCGAGAAATCCTATGCATCCTCTTGAACATTATTTAATAATATGCCATTTAACTCACTGTGCCAAGCACTTAATTCCTAATTTAAATTGAACCTCAGTTTACTTAAGAAAAAGAAATATCACGTACCTCATGCTGAGGAGCTGAGCCCAAATAAGATCGTGGTCTGTACAATTTTCAAGATCAAGGAATGTACACGGTGCACCTGTAAGTATTGCGAGACCTTCCAATGTACGTCCCGCAGGTAACTTTGCATAACAGCCAAGTACTTTTGCGAGTGCTTTCTCAATCAAGGGAACCCAAAGCTGAAAATTACGATGCAAAAATATTTTTCTGTCTAACTGAATTTATAAATGAAGTTCAAATTAACTGAAATAAATCATTATAATTGCACGATGATTTTGAGCTGCTTATGAATCTAATTCCGAATTTTAATTTCAAATCTTTTTAGGAAGTAGGGAAATGAAAATCTTAACTGACATAGAAAAGTAAATGATCTAATTCAGAAAAACCTGGTTGCGTCGTCCAACAGCAAAAGCAAGACCATGAGTTTGAGAATGGCACGGAAGAAAATCATCAACAAGGATTACCTGCCAGTGACCGTCAACACAGAGGCTAGAATTTGATATTCAATGGAAGAATATCGTAAGCAATAAAATATCTAAACAGGAAAGAAAAGATGCGACTTACCGTATTTGATAAACACCCCATGGATTATAAGTTTTTGTAAGAAAAATCTGATCTAGAATATCTGGTCTTTCAGCGATAACTGCCAGAGCTGATAAAAACCAACAATTACCCAAGCAACCTGTAAAAGAAAACAAACTATTTAGAAATTTGTCGATAATGTTTTGATAGAACATATACTGATTCTGAAGAATACATATCTAAAATATTAGAAACAGGAAATTCAAAACCGAAAAAAAGAACTAACCTTGTTCGATATCCGATGGCTTAGGATCCAGAAACACAGACCATCTATAACGTCTGCCATCCTTTGTGTATATGTCTTGTGGTCGAAGCCAGATAAAATGGTTCGCATCTATTTTTTTACCATTTAATCTTTCATCAATAATAAAATTACCAATGGATTTTTTCGAATGAGGGAAACTATCGTCGATAAATGGCATGTTATTTTCTCTGCAAAAGACAATTTTAAAAGTACTCTTTTCGTTAAAAACCAATAACTAAGTGACTGTATTACTATTACTATATCTTTGTATTATCTTATTTGCTTCAATTGCCTGAAGTTTCATAGGTTTAGAACTCAAGAACTTAAAATAATGCCAGAATACCAGTTTCAAAAGCAAAAATACCAATTTTTGAATTTAACCTACTCTTAACGCAAGGCACCATTAGCAAGTCTTTTAAGGGATTTATATAAATCGAAAAAGGAAATTATAAAAACCAAGTTACTTGCAGAATCCAACAATCCGATCAAACTCGGATGCAGCTTCTTTTTCATCATTCTGCAACAGTTGAAACGATGATGTCGAGATGGCGTGACATGGCACCATTGGAGGTTGCATCTGAATTATCAATAAACAAATTTATTGAAGCTGGTTGAATAAATGCATCCCAATATAACAATAATCCATACTGTTTTCGTCAAGATTTTCACGCTCGTCTTGGCACTGATGTAATATGATCCTTGCGCAAGCCATCTTTTCTCAAACTACCAAGAAATGTCAAATTTTTTGTTGAAATTAAGTGATGTATTTCTACCTGTGTTGGTGATGGAGGACATGACGAAAGATCACGAGAAGATGAAGCTCGTGATAAGTTGAAGACAGCAGGCAGTGTTCTGATATCATTTAAAGCTGAATCAATTGCATTCCAAGCACCGCTTAATGAGATTTCTGAAATTAAAAGCTTAAAATAATATTATTTAATCGCAATTTCGAGTTTTTATTCAAAGTTTCGAAGTAAATTTCATTACATTAATCACTACGACTTTAACAAGAAGTACAATGAAAGACCTTACTTGGCCATTTGAATAATCGTCCACGTTGAGGACGTAAAATGGAATTACTCGATGAAGTTGTGTTCTCTGATCCACATGAAGCACAGAAAAGAGATGCATCATCGTTGAGGAGAGTACAATACCTACACGACCATACACCATACATTTTTGTGTATCACACTACGTCAATATGTACATACATATATACCCGTCACTCAATATCTCGTCTGGAATGATTTTTTTCTTTTCGATGGAAATTGAAAATATTCCCATTTCCTCTACACTGCAATTATCAACAAATAGTTATTCTCTCCCTCCCTCTCCCTCAGTTATTTCAAAAGGACAAACACGTGATCGCTTCTGATATCATTTGAATATCACATGACTGGAATGAATGAGAACTTATTTCAGAAGCATAAAATTGACGATTGCAAATGTATATTAATGAGAAATATAAAAATCATTGCTAGTATAAAAATGGAAATGAAAAGGATGAAGTGATATTTCACGTACAGAATGGAATTCAAAAAATTTAAATTAACGTTTCCATGCATCAAATTTCGACTACAATAATTCAAAAATCATTCGAACCATCATGAATACATCAATGAGTGGACCATCCATTCAACCACACATTGTACCAATTTCTGTCTCAGATAAGTTAGATCGAATGATAACAGTACTGATAGCACTGATAACACTGATAGCGAGGAGACTTACGTATGCTGCGACTAGATGAATGAATGAGCTAATGGAATAATGTAGTATTCGATAAGTGTGGGAATGAGAAGATGAAATGCTGAAAGAAAATAAAAGTTGAAAGAATGCAATTATGCTAGCAGAATTGCAGTTACCCATGGAAATTGTTAAATTCAATAATGAAATTTCATAGTGATCAGATTCATTCTTTTATTAAATAAAGTCAAAAATGAGATATCATTTTTACTCCATCGATTGATCAGAAATAGTTAAATAAAAAAATTTGTCAGTTTTACTTACACAATTACCCAAAATTTTCGCTTTTATAAAATCACTGATAAAATGATGCAATTAAATTGTTTTCTCCTTTTATTCCATCTTATAGCATTGTTAATAAACAAATTTGCATATGGTATATTATAACAGTGAAGTTGTGTGCATTTCTAAATGATAAAAGAGAAAAATTTGCATATAATATGTTATGGTAGTAAAGCTAGGAGGAATTTATGAAAGTAAAGAAATTTGCATAAATGAGGAAAGGCGTTACAATTGCGATAAGAATAATTCATTTGCAAACAGTTCACTCCTTTCTTGCTTGGCAGACAGTTGTCTCGACTATTACTCTCTTCTGGTAAATTATATGTTTTACTTCTTCTTATATGAAAGATTCAGAATTGAGAATTCTAAGCTAATTTCCTTAGTGTTCAAAGATTTCACAGTATTCTTTGAGATGTTTCTCATTTATATCAACAAATATATCAACTTCCAATCCAATTTTGTAGTTTTTTTTTTTTTTTTTTTTTAAGGCAAAGTTATAAGTGAAATTTAGAATTTTGGGATCAAATAGCAGAAAAGTTTAAGAAATTACACTGCACTTCTTTATCTTACAAATACTAATCTTTTCAAAACCTAAATTTAAAATACGACTAAAGTAATTTCATATATTTCTCATAGAAATCAAAATTTTCCTGGAAACATTAACAACTTTCCGTAACAATTCACATCAAGTAACTAAAAGATAATAAATTGAATCGTAAGATTGCTTTTGAGAGTATAGCAGAGAGTTCTCAATTTAATTATGGTTAGCGAAAAGCAGTGCATAGTTTGAGTAATAACCAGCTAATCTAGTAAGGTTTTATATCTAAAATTGAATTGAAATTGTAAAACTAAGTAAAATTATTATCAAATATTTAGAATATCTGTCGTTCTGTTGTAACAGTTCTATTCTGACAACGAAAGAATCAAAATGGTTCGTTTTTAAGTAATCTTTCTTTTTTTAAGTTAAGTAATCTTTCCGAAAATTTTCACAAGTAATAAATGAGACATAAGAGGGATTCATAGTATATAATGTAAAGGGAAATTTTTTCCATTATTAGTGACTTTCCCGCACTTTAATCTCGTACGTTTGTAAATGAACGAAATTTTGAGAATAATTAATTATTCCATATTTTAGAGTAATTCAGAAAAAAAAAGCGGCGAATTTGAAGCTGTTCCGAATTTGGATCTCGAAGAATCCGAAGGTGTTTCGATAAAACATTTTTGTGAATTTCAACAAATATTTTTAACTTGAAAAACTTGAAGATATTGAAAATTATGCGCTGCAGTGCCATGTTATTAAAATTTAATACCTTCAGAAAATTTCAAAGATTTTTATTTAAAGTTTCTCCTGGATTTAATTCCATTGATTAATGAATGATTTAGCATGTTTGAAATGCTTTTTATTGAGAAATTGATTTGTCTTCAGCTATTGAAAATTCGAACACTGGGAAAACAATGAGATCAGTTGCTTCGATCAATTCGAATAATCGAGAAACAATGAAATCAGTTACTGATAGTGTCAAAGATAAGGGAAAACCCGAGATTGCAATTGCCGCCGCTAGTGAAAGTGATTATGACGATAGCGAGCAGCAATATTTCAACCAAGACCTAAAAGATGTTGGTACTACTGGTAGACTGCTATTAAAATTCCATCTTTTCCCCAATTCTCGAATATATTTAACTCGATAAGTTACTCTTCGAGAAGACTAAGCTAACTTTATTTTATGTATTTCTCAAAATTAATTAAAATAAGCTCTGATTATTTTCTTGATAAAAAAACAATCGAACATTATAATTTTTCAGACAGTAATTTCGTTGCAATTGATAAAACTTGAATAAACTGAGATTGAAATCATTTTAAGTAATGGAATAGATGTCATGAATAATTAGTCTTAAAATATGCAGGTAAATGAGGAGTATTTGGCACGACTCATTAAGGAAAAGGAAGATTTGGGAACTCTACCAAGTACTTTTCACTTTAAGCATGCTATTCGTCTCGTTGACGAAGGTATATTCATTTCACATTATTAGTACCAACTTTTTTTTTTTTTTTCTCAATTATTAAATTTTAAAAATTTAATAGTATAGAGATTGCCAAAATTCATGAGAGTCTTGAACAATCAATGGAAGTGAACGGAGATGGAATGGAACTGCTACCAGGGATACCAACTCAAGAAACGTATGAAGATGGCACCATGGATGAGGTATCAATCACAACAAATGGGAAAGTTTTTCTACAAGAGAAAATATTTGTGCCAGTAAATGAATATCCAAATGTAAGTTTTCATTTGGTATCAGTAAATCATAAAGTGCGCTTATCGTCAATTTTAATAAGAAGTAAAATTTAAAAAAAGTAAAATAATTTTTAGCATTTGAACAAAGCTAGTTGTCAATTTCTAAATCACTGAAATTCTGAAATTTCATTTCTGAAATCTCAAACAAACCATTCAATTTATTGTCTTATCTTGACAGTATAATTTCGTTGGACGTATTCTTGGTCCACGTGGGATGACCGCAAAACAGCTTGAGGAGGAATCAGGCTGCCGTATCATGATTCGTGGACGTGGATCAATCCGTGAGGTTAATTTAGTTGATATCAATTTTTTATAAACTCAATGAGTAAACTTATCTTTTCGGTTCACTCAAAATGAAAATCTTCCCAAATATGAAACTAAAGTCATAGCAATAACATTTCTGTGAGAGGAAAATTGAAGTAATTTGAGGATGCCCCGCAACGTCAAAATATCCACAACGATCACATGAAGGAAGAATTGCATGTTTTGGTGCAATGCGAAGATTTCGAAGAAAGAGCAAAAGCAAAAATGAAAAGGGCTGTTGACTGTATCCGTTCCATGCTTATACCACCAGTACATTCATTACTCCTCCTTCACTGCTGTCAAATATATTTATTTTCTAAATTAACTCCATAAATTGGCTAATTTTCAAAGAATAAAAATAATTTATCAAAACTCAAATTTCTAGAATGACTATAACTATAGTATTATTCCTATTGATAATTCAAAAACATAAGTAAATTATTGAAAATTCTGAAGACACCAATTCAAAAAAATATTTTAATTTTCCATTATTTTTTTAAGGCAGAAGGTGAAGATGAATTGAAACGTAAACAGCTGATGGAATTATCGATCATTAATGGTACTTATCGACCAACTATTGCATCGCGAACAGCGCTTCGTAAATATTTTTGTATGCTTAATTGCTCATGAAATTTATGTACATCATAGATTACTTTAATTCAAAGTAAAAAAAAAATACAAACCTACTTTAATTAATGTTGCTTTAAGTTAGATATGAGGGATAATAATTGTAAATAAACTGATAATTACTGTGCATCCAAAATATTTAATGAAGTGGAGAAAGAGTCTAACTTGTAATCACGTTAAATTATTTTATTTTATTTCCTGCAAATAAGTAAGACTATAAATTCAGGCAATTACTCGCTATTTCCACAAGTAAATTTTGGTCAGATTGGAGTGGGAAATACAATCTACGGAATGAACAATTTTCCAATGCTTCCAAATAGCGGCGTTGAGGTTGACATTTATCTTTTTTGACATTTATCTAGTCATTCTTTTAAAATTAACTAATTATTTATTAATTTTAATGTTGTGGTCAAATAGATTGATGTTCAATTAAACGATCAAATAGATCTGTAAGCAATTAATAAAATGACAAAATAATCGCCGTGACATTTTTCTAAACCTTAAAAAAAGTTTATATCTCAACTAAAATGTTTTCATCCTTTTTTAGATGCTTTATTTGTATCTAAACACACTTAGACACACTTAGTATTTTTAAAATTAAACACTTTTGCTATTTATTATAATGATGATGAAAACTTTTAAGTTAATATATATATAATTATTTATTTATTTTACTGACGCAAACTTTCAAGTTAACATGTATATATAATTAAAATATAATTATTTATTTATTTTAATGATGGAAACTTTTAAGTTAATATAATTAAAAGCAGCCATATTTCAGGGCAACAAATATAACACATTCTATGATCCCAGGTAGAACTACTTCCAATTGCTTTCTTTCATAATTTAGCTTTTCCAAATTGAATTTTAATTAATTAATGTAATTTAATTATATATTTTAAATCAGTGAAATATTTTAAAATTATTTTTTGTTTCATAAAATTAAGGCTGAAAAAGAAATCGAAAAAATGAGCGAAAAAATTTTTTCTTCATTTTATCAATATCATTTTCTATAATCAATCTTACTTTCTCATTTTCTTCGGAAAACTTAGGACTTTTCGAGAGATTGAATTTTGAAAAAGAATTATTGATTTCAGTGTTGACAACAGCGGTTTTTGCATGATTTCAGTATTGATAAGAAAAACATTTTTAGATAATTCAAGTGAAAAATTTCTCCTCTTTTTTTGAAATAAAACTATTTTTCAATTTGAAACATTCGAAATTCGAAAACTTTTTCTCTCCACTTCACCTGTATGTTGAACGAATTAATTTTCACTCACAAAAGTCGCACATTAATCAACGGAACATTTCCCATCGTTGTGCGAGATGAAATGAATGATGAAAAAAAAAAAAGACATGAAAATAACTTTAATCTAAAATGATCGTTGAAATGGGCAAAGAAATTGCAAAAGTTCCCATTCAATTTGCGCTATTTAAATTAATCAATATATAATCTTTATCAATAAACAGAGCAGGCGTAAATTTTCCATACAATTATGCGCAACAATACCAGTACAATGCTTATACCGCAAATACGCGTCAGGCGCTTGCATCATTGGGATTCGATATGGACGCCTTCGAGATTAACGACTGTTATGGCAAACGAATGGGCCGGGCATCTGCAGGGTAAGTTATGCATAACTAACGTACGATCAAAGCCGGAATGAGCAACAGCATTACCAGCGGAAGAGTTTATTTTCATCTCTTCGGAGTGTCTACAATCACACAGTACATACGAGTAAATGAATTCTCCCTTATGTAGCGTCTCCGGCAATCACGCAGCTACAACAAACGCAGCTGCGTTTGCTGCGCAATATCCTCGCCCCTGTGGATATAGCGCTCCGCTTATGGATCCGTTCGTTATGCAGGGTATGTGGAATCCGGCGATTAATTCACCGATGTTCGGTATTAATGCATCCAACCCACTGGCTAGAGAATACTACAATCACGTAATGACTGGGTAAGCTTGCTTCTTTTTTTTGGCACCATTGTTAGGGCGTAAATGTCGCATTTTATCCTTTAAGTAGATGTGAGAGGTAAAATGAATTTTGTGAAATATAAAGTAATTTGAGAGAAACTATTTGCGAACAATAAATGTGCACTCCGTTCAAAGAGTGCAAACCTAGGCGTGGCTAAGATTTAACCTTATTTCTATGCTTTATATGAATCTCTTAGATCTTTCCCTCAGAGGAAGAGAATAAAAATGGAGAAGTTCAATGAATTCATTAACCTTTGTCAACCTTTGATTCATTCTTCCCTAAATTTCCCACTTTTTTCATATTCTTTTTTTCCAACTTCTAGACTTGCACAAACAATTAACAGTAATGGAGTATCGATTGGTAACGGAATGTCGCAATCATCTAGCACTCCACCTGTCAACTTACAGCAGTACCTTACGGCTGCGGCACTACTCAGCGGTGCGCCAAACTTTCGTACCGATGGATCTGGCGATGGACCTAATGACCATCACTGAATGCTAAAGACGGCCCAAATTATAATTATTTCATTCACTTTTATAAGATTTAATTTTATTAATGCATATTCTCATTAGTTGAAATTGGCAACGATACTATTAGTCCTTTTCTCTTTATTATTTTTCAGTAATATTTGTGTTCTCTTGCAGAAATACTTTTTTTGTTTTATTTCAAAATGAGAAATACCCGATTTTGAAAAAATTTTAATTACTTATTCTAGTGATGAAGGGAAAAAAATGTTAAGCGCTTCTATAAATATTGCATATCTTATCATAGCTACTTCTCTCTTTTTTTGCAACTGATTAACCCCCCCTCCCTCCTTCCCTCCCAAAAAAAAAAAAAAAAAAGCTAAAATAAAGATAATAAATTGGTGAGTTCTCTTTTTCGTCATTATTACACTTAGATATGAAAAATTAGGTGTAGACTTAAGTATAAGAATTATATTTGTATTGAACTGAACAAAGCTTACCTGTTATTTTCGTGATATCATATCATATATCATTCGGATACTCATTTCTGATTTATTAAGCAATTTAATTTCTATTTAATTGTTTACTGATTAGTCTATTTTAGCTCTCTCAAAATTATGAATTAAGTAAGGAATTTTTTTTTGTTAAAACTATTTGAATTTAAATTTCATTAAAAACTATCTAAAAAAGCTTCGTTGGCTATTTTTTTTCGTATTTATTTCCATTATATAAAAAAATTGTGTTTAATCCTAAATAAATATGTTTGTTAGTTGTAAAACACATATGATTTCTGATAAATAAATCATAAAACATGATTCACTAATAATATTTCTTATATTTTTATTAATATTAAATGATCTTTGTAAGAAGTATAAAATGATAATATTATATTAAACATTATCACTGATCATTTAAATACAATTCATTGGTCCTCGAGAAAAATTGCCTTTACTGTGTGGGATTAAAAATTCTTGGCCAAAATGAATGGGTCTGGACATGACTGGATATGGTTAGGGTATACAAATTATCTTCAAAACTGATGTTAGTCATTTTGGATGTATGTTTAATTTCAAAGAGCAATTTTAACATTGTAATTTTCATATCATTTCAATAAACTTACATAATTCCACCATATTTATTTATTAAATTGTATAAAGCTAGCAGCACATGAACAAGTAAAACAAGTTATTTTAACATGCTTGATGAATAATAACACGACAACAGCGCCTGCTGTAAAAGATTGCAAAAATTAAGAGTGTAAACTCGGATGATATCAGTGAATGTTTTGTCCTCATTTCATGGAATATTCGAATTTCTTCCCGTGAATCACTCCATGATATTTCATTATTTCATTGCTATACAACGGATAAGAAATGTCATCTAAAAACATTTCTTTATTTTTTGGCTGATTTATTAGCATACATTCAATAAATTTCATTCTATGAGATCAATCATTTGGTAAAGTATTTATAGCGGAAATTTCTTCAGATGCGCAATATACCATTTATCATATATAATTTTGAAGAGATCCTTTGAGCTAACTTAGCTAATCCTAAACAAGAAATACTTCTCAAATCTTGTTTATCACTCATTACACTCGTATTTAATCATATTATTTGTGTAATTAATGTTGTTTGTAATCATTTCTATTTAATTTCATGATATATGAATCTGTTTTCTATTTCAATTACTTTGTAAATGCTTTTAATCAATCAAATACAAAGATCACTTTATCAATCGATACTTTCTTATCATTTTTAGCTAATTAATTATGTTAGCATTATTGCTGCAATCTATAATTTAAATTCATTCATTCATTTCTCAAAGCAAAATAAATGAATGAAGAAAAAAAAAAAAAGGATAAAATAGCATTGAGGAAAAGGAACTAATCTATACAACAATCAGTGCGTAGTTTTTGCGAATGAAACGATCGTTTAAAAAAAAAGAATAAAAATAAAAAAATAATCAGTGTGTTAAGGAATGATCTTTTTGCACTTTTATTTATTGCTTTTGCAGCCTTTTTTACTTTTTCAACATTTCTCTCAAATTTTTTAACTTTTTAATTTAACATCAAATTAACAAATATTCAAACAAATAATCGAATAAACAACATTGCTTTTTCATTTTTTTGCTTTCTTTTTTCATTGGCCAATTTCATGTATGTTTTTTTTTTTCTTTTTTCTTTTTTTGTGATAAAATTGATTGAGTGTTGTTTCCAGTTTCTGCGAAGTTTTATTTTTTTTTTAGCATTGAAAATTTGTTGAACAAATTTTATTTCAAATCGTTTCCTTTTCTTGCCGTCAAAAATTTTCATACAAAAGAAAATTTGCTATTTGTTGTGAAGATTCCTTCAAAGTGATATATGAATTTTAAAATTTCTAATCTTTTCCACTTTTTCCCTCTTTACATTTCAAAAAGATACTAATACATGGCTCTTTTTTTAGCAATCTTTTTTTTTTTTTTTTCTTTTTGATTTTCTTCATAGTCGAATAATAAATGTTATCAAGCTATTTTGTCTCAAAACTTTTTCAGAAAAATAAAAATTATTTAAAATTTTTTGAAATGTTTTTTCATATTTTTGCATTTCAAAATTTTTTTGCATAAAATGGAAAGTCTTAGTACTTATAAAATCTTTTAATTTCTAGCTATATAATATTAGCTGAAACTTTTCCCCTCTCTATACTTACATCATTTATTAGTTTATAAAAATGGAACTTTAATTTATCTAAAAAAAAGAATTGAATTATAGATTCAAATTTTAGAAGGAATTGAATTACAGATTTTCATCTTAGAAAGCAGTGAAATGAACTGAAAAGCTATATGCTAACAATGATACTTCTTGTTTTCAAGAATTCTTGGATGAATGTTTTAGCATTCTCATGGGCATAGACCACTTACAAAAATACTTTTTCAAAATCAAATTTTATTTGTGAATTTTTTCCGCGTTGCAAAAAAACAATCACTCAGTATTCTTTTACTGGTCTAACAAATATCACGGGAATATCGTTATCATTGGATCAGCTTTAACAAAACTTTTTTTTTCGTTTATTAGTCTTTTTTAAATTTTGTTTTATACATTGAAATTTTTTTATTAAAAATGAAAAACTCAGTTTAATAATGGTATTCATTTATAAAAAATATTTTTAAATTATTTCTGATTGTTTTGATTGAATAATTATTTTTAGATTAAAAAAAAAAAAAGCATAAATTGAGTTGGTTGAGGCTTCAGAATTAATACATTTCGAATAATTTTTAATAATTCAATAAAACAATTGGCAAGTTTAAACTTACTTTCACAATGAATAATTAATTAAATGAGTAATATAATTTGAGAGAAAGATTAATGTGCAAAATAATTTGTTGTTGCATTATTATAATTATAACATCGCCAATATTTATTGTATAATAAAAGTACAGTTATTATTCTCTTATTATTATTGCTTGACGTTTTAAAAAAAAAAGTTTGAAAAAAATTGTTTTTAAAGATTTATTTTTGTGCTGGAAATAGAAATAAAATTTTTAATTTAGGACAATATTTTAGCAATATGAAAGGATGCATTGTAAATTTAACAACAAGTTATACCACTGATCCTTTGAGATATCTCGGAAATAACATTTGAGCATTGTTTTAATGAATAAAATAATTTCAATAAAATAAAGCAATTTTATATAGCACAAAGAATGAGACAAAACAGTGTCTCTAATTAAATTTCTCTTAATATAATGCGTAAAATGTTCAAGAAGTTATAATTTTCAAATTAAATTTTTTTTTTTTTTTTTTACAATTTCAATAATATGTTTGAATCTGTTGATTGTTTGTTTTAAAACACAGATTACTATTCGTTCTCTAGTTTTGAACATGGAAAAGAACCTACAAAATTTTAAATAATTATTATTTAATTAGACTTTAAAGAAATCTTAAAAATTTTTCAAATAAAAATTTTTAAAGATTTTTTTGCCTTTCATATTTTAGCGCAAATTTGGGAAAATTTAAAATTATATACTTTGGTTTAATAATATTTGCGATCTAAAAAAGTTTCTCTAAATTAATTGTTATACAATTTTGTTAATTTAACATGAATGTAATAGTATATATTATATAATGAATTAAAATGAATGACAGATAGGTGACATTATATTATCCATTTTTTTTAGTTGTTTAGAAATTTGAGTTTTGATTAATTTCTAATGAGCTAAAAATTTTAATTTTTAAAAATTTGTTCATAAAATTTAACATTTACTCATTACAATGATTCATTTTGCCTTTTAACTGCAATGAAAGATAAATGAAAAGATTTCACTTTTTCCTGTAGTATTTTTTTTTTTTTCTCGAATAAAACATTTATCTTTGATAACACTTTGCACTATCAGACAGTCAGGTCATCAATATTTTTCCACTTATTTCTTTTCTATAAATAAAATCAAAACATCTATACACTGTGTCAAATTTTACACTTTTTTTTTTTTACGATAGCGGTTTAAATTCTCATTTTAAAAACATAGAAGCATTCAATGTAACAATTTATGAGTAATACTTTTTATATTTACTACAAATTTCAAGATATCTATTTTTTAAATCTAATTCTTAAAATAGTTTAGTATTCAAAATGATCTGATAATCTAGCACGTTCTTATCAAAACGCATATTATGAATTTAGTGTAAAAAGATGAAAAAGAAAAATTCAGCTAAAATTCATTAAACTATTTGTAATAATTCTTTATGTCTGAGTTTATCATATTCTGAATTATCAATTCAGAGGTTAAACTCACTTCTAATTTCATTTTGTATTAATCATCTTAGATTGTCACATTTAAATATTCCAAGAGTTATCTAAAGAGGAAAAGCATATAACAGAAAACTACTTAATGACTAAAAAGAAATGGATGAAATAGTTATTTTTGGAGAAAAAACTTTTGAATTGTAATTTTTTAAACACAAAAAATTATGATGCATGAAAAAGAAATTTTCAAACTGAAAAAAATTTGCAAGAAAAGGACGCTGTCATGATTGTATATAAAAATAATTTAAATCAATTTATAAATAAAATGTTTACCAATAGAAATTTATTGGAAAATTTTTTGTGGATTGTCAATAGATTTTAAACTTTGCTTAAAAGTTTTTTTATATTTCTTTTCTGATTTTCGCTAATTAGCAAAAATGATATCTTTAGATCGATTCTTTGTAAAAAGAGTAGCATTGTATGCAATAATACTTTTCAACAATTTGATATATTGCAATTATTGGAAAATTTACTTCCAATAAAAGTAAATTATCTGGGATAAATTTCTTCAGGAAGTATTATTACAGAATTCAATTGAACTGTTAGCTGCAATTTTAACTGTAACTGTAAAGTTTTCAGCATCCAAATACTATCAGACTTTAATCATCGACAACTGATAAAAATCATTTACACAAGTATTCAAGTTTGCATGATAATAGCTTCAGTGCTCATTTAGCATTTTCAATTTTGAATGTTTAAAAGAGAGATTAGCATGCCAAATCACATTAATTCCAGTGAATTTCATCATATTCATTGAAATATCTTGAATTTATGACGAAAATAATGCTTTTTAAATTTGCGCAACAGTAATATATCTGATTGGGCGCAATATTTTAATGACGATATTTTCCATTTCGCCTTTCTTTCAACTGTAAAATGTATTGTCGAAAGATTTGTCGAAAGAAACAAGGAGTCGAATGTGGAATCAGGTCTTCAGGATCAGGAAATAAACCGGAACTTCTTTGAAAACAATGCTTAGGTTACATGAATATATAGCAGTTAGCAATTGCGATATTTTATAAAAAACAATAAAGCGAGGAAATCGCTAATTAAACTGTCTTTGGTTTTTGAAATATGATAGTACCAATTTCAGTATTTTAAAACAAATGGATGCGACACATGCGCTTCTGTTAATTGTATTTCTCCCAGCTTTTAATAAAGCAGCAACAGGCGGTACCATATTTAAATTAATAGCCACACTATCAAATGATAGAAATCATCCATGTCAGGTAAAATGAAAACGACATTTCTCATTTTAATATTTAAAATTTGTAATCTAATAGTGCTTTTTATTTCTAACAAACAGCAAATTATTTCTTATAACTCGTTTCTCAACTCTATCAACTCTATTCCGGTTTCCGGAATAAAGCATACCATTTTATTGTATTCAAAAAGGCCTACTTTACTTAAAAGTAATTAAAAGAAAAGAATGAAATAACGTAGAAGAAGAATTAACTTTTTTACATTTCAGTGCAAAGCTTTTGTGGTTGTAACAATTGAAATGGTTATTAAATATGCTTAAATAAAGTCGTAAATGAAAAACTGTAAAACTTACTTCACTTCAATTTTAACTTATATATTAATAAATTACGTATGTAAAAATACAAATCGTTTGTTATTTCAAAAATTTTCAAAACTTTACTGCAGCAACCTCTTCAACGTGGCAACTGTTCACAGCGAATTCCACTCTTTTATTATAATATTCATAATCATAAATGTCGCAAATTTATGTACAGGTATGCTTACGATTCAAAATTACTCACAATTATGTTCATTTTGCGCCACAGGTAACAAATTGAAAGAGAAAAGTTCAAGAATGAAAAGTTTATAAGCTTCAAGAATGAAAAAATCATTGCTTTTCTTTGTCCTTTCAATATGTATATTCAGTAACACTTTTTATATTCAAAATATTTCGATGTGATTTCAACTTTATTCATAACTTGATGAAAGTTATTGAAAATTTAAGAATACTAGCAATGACTGATTTCTCTGGATACTTTGAAATTTCTGCTTAGGAAGTAAAATTTTAAAATTTTTTGAGGTTTTTTCTATGTTGATAGAAGAAATCATTATTACATAAGTGATAAGTAATATCTGTCTCTGAATTGAATACTTAAATGCTAAAATTAAAGCTTAGAACACTGATGGAAATAATTTTTAGTGGTTGCAATGGAAATGAAAATCGTTTCTCAAATCGGCGGCAATGTCAAGCAAAATGTGGTAAAAAGCAGGAAAACCATGTGAAACAAGATTTCTCCAGTCATTGCTTCTTTTTAATTTCACATTTCTCTTTTAATTATAGTTTGAAAAATCAATATTTCACTAATTAGGAAATTACTTAATTGATTAATTAGAAAATATACGATAGCATTCATAAATATTGCATTGCAAGTTTAAATTAATTTTGGTTCAACAACTTTTACAAAGAGCACTATTTTGATAAGTTTTAGCTATCTGTAGTCAACCATTTGATCTACGATATCGAAAATTATGCCGTCAAACTACGCCGATTGCGCCAACTTGGGAGCTACGTTATTTTTATGACGCTAAAGAAAATCGATGTCGACGCTTTTGGTATGGTGGTTGTAAAATATTGGGAAGAAATCAGAATATATTTGCTAATGAGAAGGTTTAATTTTATTAATTTCAAAATTCTCTTTGGAATTTGAAAAATAAAATGCGCTATTTAAATCAGTAAAAATTGCAAAAAAGGAAAGTAATATCATAAGAATGTAACTTATAGCTGTTAAATTAGTCCTTTTTTCTTCAATCGAATATTATTTTCAGGCTTGTAAATTACTCTGTGTGAGGAAAAAGAATGGCAAATTAGAGGATAAGCGGAAAAATTCAATGTTAAAAAAAACAAGTAACTATAAATGCTGCTGCTAATTGCTTTCTCTTTATTCTGGTCCTATTTGAAGATATTTTCTATTAGCTATGTTATTTACCGTTTTCACAGAAATAGCTAAATAAATATTTTTGTGGCCCATATTTCTATTTCAATCTCACTTCTTTTTCCCACAGTTTCTCATGATTGATCTAATTTATTATTTATAAAAATATATGTATATTTACAGTGTGTTTTATAAAATTTGACATGAAACAATATTATGGCTGCAAGACTTTCAATTGGCGTCCACGGTTCTTCTACAATCAAACAAGTTCAAAATGTGAAATGTTTTGGTATGACATTTCATGCTCGAAACGTCGAGAACCTACTAATATGTTTTATCATCGCGGAGTTTGCAAAAGATTATGCGAGCAGTCCGATCGAATGGTACTTATCAAATTCATTGCTTATATTTGTCTTTGATGTTTAATTTATCGACTTAAATTAATTCAGCAATTAATAAATACCTTATACTGAATAAAAGTATTTGATGACTGAATGTTGAATGTCTCTTGAACCTTTAATCACTTTCAAATCACTTTTCTTGAACCTCTTTTATCAGTTAGCAATTTGTCAGTAAATGTTTCTCAGAAAATATACTTTTAACAGTTCTTACACTTTTTTTGTATTTTAATATCAAAAGTAAAGTAGTTTATAATTGCAAAGCTAAAACATTGGGAACTTTTTGATTTCAATGATTTGTTTAGTCATTTCATTCTTGAAAACTGTATAATTCATATTCTTTCTATTTAATGATATCACATATTGTCATCTTTCAGACCCAAAAATCATCACAACGAATAGGAACAGACACATATCGTATCGGAAAAATTTCAGCAATGTTCTCACAGCCATATAGTTTCATGCGATCAAATAGTCATCGAAAATTGATACGGATGAGAAATATTTTTGATGGTTATTCTACAAATATTCATTAACTTAGAACCAGAAAAAATTCAACTAATTAATTAAATTAAATAATGAAAGTTTCAGATTGCTTTAATAATTAACATTTTTTTTTTTAAAAAAAAGTTTTTCAGATTTTTTTATTGATGCACACATTAAGCCTATTAAAGCAACTCAGTCGGAAATATCGAGCATAAACAGTAATTATACTTCATTTCTTGATAAAATTTTAAAAATAACTTCTATTAATAACTTTTATTAATAAAACAAATATCTACAAGAAGTTTATACTTATACTCTCGAAAGTTTTTTTTTTTTTTTCATCAAGAATGTCATTGAATTCAATTTAGTATGATTTAGATTACACTTTGCTCACTAATTGAAATTTCAGCTAACTCAACTTCTACTAGCAATCCTTCCGGAATATTTGTGACTCATTCGTATGTTAATGAAACGCCATCAGATGACAATACCAGTAGTTTTGATTTTCATATATTAAAGGCTGAATTTCGCCGTTCGCTGCAGAAAGTTTTCCAAAGATCAGTAGAAGAAGAAAATAATGACACGATGAATCACTTTGATCAGTTCACGCCTATTTTATCAAGTAAACATTATAAATTTAAAAATTGATTTTGTGATCATTTGCACGAAAATATCGATTTGGAGGGTAAAAATCATTTGGTCCCATTTGTTACTAACAAATAAATTAAGAACATTGGTATAGAAAGGATTTGAACTAATGTCAATTAACATTGCAGAAATATCAAAATGCGGTGAATTCGATTCGAAATTAGCAGATGCATGTAATATCACAAATTGGACACCGAGGTATTATTATGATACAACGAGTAATAAATGTCGAATATTCTGGAGTAGTGGTTGTATCTCGGATAATGGTAATAATTTCGAAAACATTGCAAGCTGCCAAAAGCAATGCGTAGTAAAGTGGTTTAATTCAGAAGCAGGAGTAGAAGCAGGTTTGTTATCATCTAATCATTAAAGCGCCTCTTATCAGTGATATTAATTTTGTCAGTGGAAAATGTTGCAACGTGTTTACATATCAATAAAGATCGGCGAACATATTAGACGATTGATCAGCAAATTTGAACTTATACACTTATCAAATTAGTGTGCAAACTATTTGCAACTTAAGAAACGATGAAAGTATAACATTGACATGAATCACATAATAATAATTCAAGTACATTCATCATTTAATTTCGTTTTCCATTTTTCAGCTGCTACTTGTTATTTTCAATTAATACAACTAACTGTTACTTATAAATTCATATAATTTTAAATAATTCTTTAATTTCATTTTTTAAATCGTACCATTTGAAGATAAAGAACACACGCTACCCTCAACACTGATAACACGTTGCTTGGAGCCATTGATATTAGGCAATTGTTCCAAAATGTAAGTTTTGCATTGTTTTATACTTAATTTTTATCAAACAGCTTTTTTAATTTTTGCAAAATAATGGTAACCGAAATTTACCATTCTAATTCTCATTTAATTTTCAGTTTCTTTTAACAGATTTTCTTTTAAAACAATTATTTTGCAAGAAAATTTGCGGAAAAAACTAATAATGAAAGATATAAAAAATATCGATTTCTCTTCAAGATTACAAGTAATGAAATAATGGTTTCTTATTAATTTTTTTTTAATGATTAAGCGTAAGTTGTATTCAAGGTATCCCTCTTACTACTATAACCGAGAAGCGCAACGCTGTGAACCGTTTATATACAGTGGATGTGATGGTAATTCGAATCGTTTTCTTACGCTACGTCAATGTCAAATAACGTGTTATCAATTTCGTGGGTTATCTCGTAGGTACTAAATTCTCTATTTACTATTTTTTTCTCAGACAAAGTTTATATAACCTAATCTTATTAATGTAGCTTGATTCATATTTTCATTTGTTTAATTTCAATCGTTGATTAACCTTTAACTTGATAACTGTTATCAAAGCATTATGTACTTATTATCAAAATATCGGTATTCGATCTGTCAACCTCTTACTTACAATTTCTCCTTTAGAATTTAGTGAAACGTATGTAGAAATAATAAGAATTCTATGAGCTTTTAGCAGCTATGGGTAAGTTTTAAAATTTTTGTGTCATTTGTTTAAATTGTAGCTTTGGAAACGAATTGTCTTTTACCACTCGATGGTGGAGAGCAAATCGAAGAAGATGAATGTGCGGAAAAGGCTGGAATACGCTACTACTACAATCAGAGGAATGGTACTTATATATATAAACAGATAATCTCGAATTCTTTCGCTTCATTTTTTTGACAGTCAACAACTTTGCATTCATTTTATCATTTTTATAAATGTAATTCTTGAGCATCGCTAATTTTTTCCATTCAATCATCAGGACTTTTCCAATCAATCAATTCCAATATCAAACCTTCAGTGATAAGCCTATCAATTTTTTACCTTCTTAGTAGCCTCCAAAGTATATATATATATACTTTGGAGTATATATATATAATGTATATATATATACATATATTAAAGTATATATATATATATATATATATATATATATATATATATTCAAAATAAGCTTTAGAACGTTGTGAACAGTTCTGGTATTCCGGATGTGTCGGTAACGAAAATCGATTTTACGATCTATCTACTTGCGAAGCTGTTTGTCGATATATTTCGACAGGATATGCTCTCGAAAAATTTTCACATCCTAAAGGTTTAAATTAGTCGGAAATGAAATCCAATGCATTAGCTTTAGATATTTCAGTATAGTAATTTTTTTATACAATTTATACGGCTCATTAATTAATTAAAAGATTTTCTGACATTCAAGCGATATTTAATATTACCTTCTTATTGAGTATGATCTATAAGAAATTTGAATTAATTTTATTTTTCAGTTTGTTTCGAACCAATTACTGAAGGGAAATGTTTGAAGAATGATCGGAAAAGTGTTCAACGATGGGCGTATAATCACGTTCAGCTACAGTGTGTCACGTTTAACTACAGCGGATGCAACGGAAATCAAAATCGTTTTGCTACCGAATATTCCTGTAATGCTCTTTGTAAAGGCTTAAAACGTCCTTTACAAGGTTCAATTTTGCACAGAAGAAAGAACGTCTATGTTAAATAATTTTAAAAAGAATCAATATTCTCTTCTTAAATACTAGTTAATAAAATCTTTTCCTAGATATTGTCAATGTACAATTTTTTGAAGAGAATTTTCTAATGAAATTGAGAAATTTCTTCTTTAATCGTTGTTCTAATTTAAAATATGAATTTTAAATAATTGCATAATTTTAGAGCGTTGTATTGCATATCCGGATTGGGGTAATTGTAATCTATTAAGCTATCAGTGGTTTTATAACTTAACCAAAGGTACTTGTGAGCAGTTTTTATGGGGTGGTTGTAATGACGGCAATGAAAATCGATTTGATACATTTGAGAAATGTCAACAAATTTGTGAAATTCCAACAAAAAGTTGGTTTTTTCACTCGTTTTAAATTATCATTTCGTTTAAATGCTGTGATATCATATCGATATCAGTTGCAATGTTCAATGGAATAGTTTTTTTTTTTTTTGCTCAATGACCTGAAAAAAAAATATAACTGCTAAAACATTATACAGTAATTTATAGTTTTTGAAGAAACAAAATTGAAGTTTGTTCATTTGATCGAAAACTTTTCATGCGTGGCTTTATTATTTGGCTATGTTATCAGAAACTGAGCATCAAGTCTTTGCAGCGACAATTCTAATAAATTTTATTTTTAAAAAAAAATTTTTTTTTTTAATTGAATTTAAACGTATTATATTCATTTAAGACGAATGTTCCGATCCATTAGATCGTGGATGTTGGTGTGAATCAATGTCGAATCGTTACTATTACAATTCCGAGACAAATACTTGTAGAGGTTTCCATTATACAGGATGCGGGAAAAGTCAAAATATATTTATGACGCAGCAAGCATGTGAGGAAAAGTGAGTATGAATTTAAAATGAGTTGTCTAACTTTTATTAACTAAATTTTCTAATATCGGTTACAAAAAAATTTGGAACTTTAAAAAAATTTTTTGAAAGAACAGAAAAAAAGAAAGAAAACATTTTATTTATCTAAAAATTTACCACAATCAAATTTGATTAAAAGTGACATTTCAAATATCGGCAAAGGTTGAAGAAATGAAACCAAGTTTTGCAACTGTAAAAATTTCTATGTTTTATTGTATGAACATCATTCAGATGTATCAATCAAGCGAATCTGTCATCCTCATTGTCCCCATTGGGCATCATTTCATCTGGAAAAATCAACTGTAAGTCATTTGTCATTTTCAAATTACATAATTTAAAATTATTTATGATGTAACTTTACCTTGTCATTATTATCAAATTGAAAATAAACAATAAGAAAAATAAAGATCATTTTTTTTGCTACAGATCGAGGTGTAAAACCATTTGTGAAAAAGATATCGTCTACGCATCAAATTTTGATGGCGGATAGTGCTCCGTACATGAAAACAGATGCGGAATGGCTTGAAGATGGAAAATGTGTCGGTTACAGGTAATCAAATTTGTCATCATAGAAAAATCTTAAAAATGCCATTATAATAGAATTACAGCACTTTTTTCTCTATTTTTGAATAAGCAGAAAACAATCAAACTAGCTGTTTGCTTTTTAGATACAATATTACCGGAGAAAGAACTCGTCTAATGAGTTACCTTTGTTTAATGGAATCAGGTGGCACATGTAATACACAGGTAGATTATCTATTTTAAAATAGGTGTCTTAAAATTAATCATTAATCTAAAGTTATTTTCATTTTATGTCTACTCATACAAGGTTTTGGCAACATTCGTAATTTTAATTCTTATCGAATAAAATGAAATGAATTGAAAGAGGCAAGAATTTTTTATTAGTAAAATCATTTCTTATCATTACAGACTTCATCAACCACACATGGTGACGAAAAATGTCGCTTAGTACAGCCATGGCTCAAAGGTATGCATCTCTATTCTTGGTTCTTTATCATCGATCAGCAACCTTATCCGGTAATTGGTAAGCAGGCTTTGAACGAAACAACTGCCACACTGATAATTTTACCACCAAATGATTGCCGTAGAGTGTGCTGATAATTGTTTTTAAAGCACAGTTCAAATCACTCGGAACATTGAAGATATAAAAGTGAAGGAATAAAATGTTTGCAAACACATTCGGTGATAACATTTGTTCAGGGTTTACTGATAATGCAACATTTTGGCTTATCTAAACACTTGGCTATTTACTCAAAACTATTCTCCAAATCTTATTTCTGAATTTAGTTTCTCTCTTTTGTCCATTTACAATGACATAATTCGATTTTTTGGCAGAAAAGCATTTTAGCTCAAGTTATTCTGGCTAAATACTCTTTAAAATAAAAATAAACTGAAAAGATCAAGGTATCGCTCTAAATGGATGTAAAAAAAGAAAACTTTTTATTAAATTTCTTTGCTTCTGTCGATCTCAGTCTAAATTTAAATTTAATGTCATTTTTATAATTTAAAAAAAAAAAAAAAAAACTAAACAAAACACCTGTCATGTAGTTGCACTGCAAGAAGAAAACTGCAAATAAAGAAAGGTAAGGTAACAATTTGCAATAGATGTATAAGGCTTTGCAATATTCATAATAGTAAAGTAACCTACTACTTGTCATAAAGAATGTTTTTGCATTGACACTATATCGATCTGAAATCATTTGATCTTTCTTTTCATTTCGCATTTTCATGTTTATTCCATTTATCTTGCATAATTAATTTCTTTCAAATTCTTATTTCAACAAATTACTATTTTCTCTTTTTGTTTTATAGTTCTATTTCATTTAAACCTTTTTTTTTTAAATCGTACTCATGTAATTTGATATTAAAACAAACAAATTTTATTGATTTATAGAAATTTTAAAGTTATTCTGATTATTATTGATAATATAACAGTTATTAATTCATATTTCTATTTTGCTGATTCTTTTCATATTAATTTAATGTTTGATCATCCTGATCAAGCAGATCTCATCTTTAATTTCATTCAACTATACAAATATTTATCAAGCTTTTATTTATTTAAAAAATTAGTTACATTTTTGAAAATTCAATTAAATAAAACGGTAGAAAATAAAAAATCGCAGATTGTTAGCTATGATTTTATGAATTCGTACGACTTATTTATCTTTTTGCATAATTTTTTTATTCGTTCCTTTGTTTATTTTTATAAATTAATGAGCGGAATAAAAACTTTACTAATAAATTTTTAAATTTTACACAAGTTTTCTTGAATTTTTCTTGTTCTGAGCATGGCAAATATTTTCTAATTTCATTACCATCTAAAGGGATTTTGTATGAATTGGTTCTACGAGGTTGATTTGTTAGATTCTACAACGGAAATCAACGTATCGTCACACACTCCAACATCTCCGTCATTCTTTCATCGCTGTCCTTCGTGAAGAGCCACTGGGCAACAAATGAATTTTAGTGGAAATTCTCAGCTCACAAGCAAAAGCAGTAAAAAACAGGTTTTAAAAGAATGAATTACCGGAAAATATGAAATTTTGTTATTATTGTTGGTGATAACATAGGTAGCAAGCAGGTACTGTGGGTAATATTAGAGAGGATGAATGGGGATGGTTTGCATAATGGATATTTATGAAAGTATGAAAGGTGAAAGGAATGGAAAGGTAAATGGATGGACGCATTAATGAGAAAAATTTGAAGGTGTGACAACGATGTGGACATTGTGAAAAAGTGTGAAATTCGGAAGTGATGCGAAAAAGAAAGGAAGAAAATAGCAAGTTGAAAAAATACTTAAGATTTGTGAAATTTTTTTTTTTTTTTTTTTTTTCTTCTGAATGGTCTTTTCTAAATTGTGCGACAGATGAGTGAGAAATCAAGTGGACAGATGAAACTTTTATTTTTTACATTGACCAAATAATGAGAACATTTTGTTTTGTTGTTTGGTTCTTTTACTTCTTTTAATTAAATTTGAAGAAATGTTGAAATTTTTAGAAGAAGGTAAGTTGTTTCGTTAGGCTTTAATGAAACTTTCATAAGGATAAGAAGAGAAAAGGGAGAGAGAGAGAGAGAGATTTTTTATGTGTTTGTTAAAATTATGATAAAAATGAAATATTCAAAAAATGAAATTTACACTGTTGAAATAATCTTCCCAGTTCTGATGCTTATCAGTTTTGATGCTTATTGTAAGATAGATCCGGAAATTTGTTATTATCATTGCACATCTTGAAATGAATCGTTGAATCATTTCTACAGCATTTGAACGGTTTTTTTTGAGAGGGTTGTTGACAAATGAATTATTAACTGTAAGGATTCTAAATCTTTCTATCATGATACTTTTGCATTTCTTCACTTTTTTATTAACTAAATTATCGTCTGTTTATTCAAATATATTTACTTTAACGAACTAAACATCATATCATCTTATCAAATTCATCATATAACACTGATATCAATTGTTTAAGCCATAATTTTTAGGCTAACTTATGTATCCATGGAAAACAGTTAGTATGTTAAATTGCTTTGATCGAATAAATATAACAATATTTCGTGACAAAGTGACGAACGGATAGATTAGCAATACTACCCGACGAATGTTATTAGAGTTTCAAAAAACTTCGGATAAAAAATGAAGAAAAAATTTTATGCTGCGGACAGTTTATTAAACCGACACAATTTAATCGATTTCACTGTTTTCAATAAAAAATATTTGAGAAACGGTAGTAGAAACTGATGTTTTAATCATATTCGTACTTCTTATTGTTACCTTAACTACAGTACATCAATAAAAGTTAACATTAGTAATGGTAGCAATAATGCAGTAAGTAATATTTGCATAAGACACTGATGAATTGATTATCTCTACGGTTAATTACCTGTATTATCAAGCATGTGCTAGTGGTACTTTCCGTTTTGTTTACTTTTTTCCTTTCAACTTTCCAACGGATCGTTTTTTTCTCCTTTTGTAATACACCTGGTTGCTAGTTATTCAACTAAATCTTTTAATTACAGAGTGAAAGATCAATAGAGATAGTTATGAATAACTGGTAAGCAGTAATAATTATTGTGTATCTTAAACAGTAATACTTTATTATCATTTTAGAAATGGTATATCATTACTAATTGGCATAATTACTACATCTTTTGGTGAGAGCAAATAATATTTGACATTTGTAAAACAATCATGTAATCATTATTAAAATTAGAACAAATTTTTGTAAAATTATTGTGCATATTATTAGTTCTTAAATAGTTTTAAAAGTTAATTAAATGAGCGCTCCAACAAAATCAGAAAGTGTCTCAATTGGTCACTGTTACTGACGCCGAACTGTTATCATCAACATTTATGTATAAAGGAAGTATTATGGTCGTGCATAAGCATTTATTGCAGCATAACGATTCATCGATTCAGTGATATGATAAGGAGTCAGACGTTATCATTGCTTTATTGCCAACAGTGCGACAATGAAAACGTTCTTTCCTTCCATTTGACAGAGTTTTTTACATTCTCTAATTAATTTCTGCCTTCGAAACATTATGTAATTTTTGAAAGGTTATCGGAGAGGTAACTACTGACCACACACCCGACCATATCATTCGGTGAATGGTTGTCTACCGGTGATAATGATGATAATTTGTGATGAAATGATTGTATTGACAAAACCTAAGCATATTAGAAATGTCATTTAATGTTTGTTGAAATGTCACGATGAACCCATCTTGGTTTCTGGTGACCAGCTGCTTATCAGTATGGGATGATGACATTATCAGTTGAAATGAGTGACACAGTCTGCTCTTTTCACTTGTGAATTTTCCATATCAAAAGCTTGTAGCAGTCAAATCATTTTCGCCACCTTTTTCTTTACGATTTTCTTATTAATTCGTTTGTAATTAAAAAATTTTTACGATCGAAAGTTTGATGATATTTTAGTTTGAATTGTGATAAATAAAATGGATAAAATCACTGTAAACGAAATATCAATGTGTATAGTAAGTACTAAGTAACAACTAGAACACTATATAATTTGATGAATAAGAAAGCTAGGAGTAATTTTTTTTACAATTTTGCTTATTAAAACATTCTAACAATAAGAAAACACCAAATGATAAGAGTTATTAATTAACAATTAACTATCATAAAATGTTGCATTGCCGTGTAGATGGATGGAATTCGTCTTACGTTATTTAAGTAAATTTAGTTCTTGGCCACTTAACAAAAGTACTCATTCCAGTTGGGCCAATTTTGATTTTCTTTAAAAACTTGCAATATCGGTCACCCAAAATTTAGTAACCAATAGTAATGGGAAGTAGGTCTACTGATTAGCACCACGAATGAATACTGTGACACAAACTGTGGATGACATCTTTCAGTAATCATTCGTCGTACAATCATATTTTGTTATATTCCTCTCTAATTTTCCCACTATCTTCCATCTTCCAATTAAATATCCTATATTTGATGAGAAAAATATCAACCATAGCTATACATAGCTAATAATTGGTTAATTAATTATTTTTGCAGAATCAATTTTTTTTCAATTTCAAATTTTAAAATTTACTCAGTCATAACAATATCTTACCAGATGAAGTTGTAACTCTATAAAACATTAAGCTCGTACCGAAAATATCACCAGAACTAATGCAGTCCTAAACTAACGATGGCCTTTGACCTCATCAGAAATGAGCACCTGAAGAATTGCATAAATGAAAAAAGGTTCTGTTCTGTATTTATTGTGAACTCATATTTCTCTATCCATCACTTCATATATTAGTTATTTAATTAGTAAAGCACTATAAGTTTGCTAACCATATAAACTATAACTATTTACATTGATTATTAAAAGTTTCTTACTTAGAGAAAATTAAAAGATGTTTAATCAGCTAGTTTAGGTCATGAAATTAAACGAAATGATTTTCTTTGTCATTTTCAGTGTGTATTTCTTCTAAAATTACAAAATGATAAATAATTAGAATGTCAAAAATTAATTTCTAATTTACATTTTGACTCCAACTTAACATTTTAGAATTTGCAGGAATTATTTCTCTTGTCAAATAATTCTTCCCTTAAATTGGTCATTTATGCATTACATATA